GACAAATGGTGTGTGCCTGAAACCCTCTGAACTTTCAGACAAGTTGCAGGCAACTTCAGCTGACGTTCTTTCTACAGCTCTGAGAGTTACGTGGCTTTTACCACACAAAGATCAGCATGGTTAGGTTTTGTAAGGCCCTACTAACTCATACTAGGTCTTATTATGTGCAGATTTAAGCAGTATTAAAGCGGGTTTGAAACCTGGAAAAGGGGTGGACTGGATGTACTGCCTCCCTGCCCTAGAAATAAGGCCCATCCCAGATACTAGTAACTAACAGCCTAGTTACAGAGTCCGCAATACGGATTCAGGAAAGAATATCTCTGGGTTTAATTAGATTAACTGGACAGTCGATGGGCAACCTGTGATCCAGAATTTCCGAGGGAGAACGCTCCCAGAGGCAGATCACTTCATGAAAGAGACGGCGCTTCTCGAGGTCGCAGAGCTGCACGCGTTCTGAGGAGACGGTCCTTCTCTTTCTCCTCTTCATTCCCACTTGTGTTTCCGTCTTCTCTGTGCAGCCTTTTACTCATTTTTCTCTTATCCCAGTCATCCGTGCCTAATTAAAAACTAAAACCCCCCCTCAGGCCACAGACTGGCTGCTAGTGACGACTCACAGCCATGGCTCTATCCCACACTTCCCACAGGCTCCTGAGAACTGGACTGCGCTCATCCAGTTCTGAACAGTTTGACATCCCGCCCGCATCTCCATGTTTCCCATAAGGCTGGCACGAGAAGCCTTGCTGAATGCCCCACTACACCTCAACGAAGACAAACCACATCTGCAGCAGGTTTGTGTTCGATTCTGGGTCTGATGCCGCTGCGGGAAAAGGAGAGGAAGCTGGAGCGGGCTTGATCTGGCTTTGGCCATTGGCTCCCCGTTATCTAGACGTTCACAAACCTTCCTGTTAAGAAGTTTGCCTGGAGTCCAAGGCCGATTGTCCAAGTTTGCAGGCTACATTCCATTTCCTTTTTGAAAACCTTCTTTAGTCCTATGGTTCCTCTCATGCTACACAATATTTCCAAGAAAAAGCCCTGAAAATGGTCAAGCCATCATCAACTCCTTCACCAAGAGCCTGACGGTGCAGTTCATTTGCTAAGTAGCTACTATACGTGAAGCAGGGTGCCACGCTGTCAGGACACAGATAAAACTTCAGTCTCCACCTGCAAAGAGAGAAACGTACACAAACAAACGAAGCAGAAAGAAAACTGAAGAGAGGACTGATAGCCCAGGAGATCCAATACTCTATGGAGAGGTCACAGGCCAGGACAGGAGCAGGTAAGAGGAGGGCAGCAGCTCAGACAAAAAACGGCCTGCATCAATACTAGACGGTAAGCAGAGTCTCAAGATCAGGGAACCGTCACTAGCCCAAGCGAGAAGAGTTGGAAAAGAGACATGAAAGTCATATGAAGCAAGGCTAGAAAAAGAGGTGGCAAAATAAGAAACACAGCCAAAGGGGTACTGAAATCTATCTTACCCTACAGGAAAATAGATCAGAATGCAGGCCATCATGGCACGGGGGGAGGGGAGGGATGGGGAGGAAATTTGGAACTCAAAATCTTGTGGAAGTAAATGTTGAAAACTAAAAGTAAATAAATAAATACATTGAAAAAAGAAAAAGAGGTGGCAGCCAGTGTGGCATGCCCCAAATGCTGGGCTCAGCATTTGAACCTGTGGCCTTCTGTGAGGGAAACTACAATGGCACCCACCCTGGAGGAAGACGATGCTCAGTTCACAGTCCTCTACTGGGTCAGCTCCGCAATGTTAAACCACAGCTCATGCAGGCCCAAACACCAGAGTCAGCTGGGAGAGCAGGCACACACAGTGAGCTCACAAGCACAGAAGAGAGGCAGACAGGGCCTCTTCTCTACTGCTTCACTTGGTGATCTCATCATCTCCCATAGATTTAATTACCCTCCTACCTTCCCTAATACTGTGGAGGGCAACCTCATTTCCCTAGTCCCTCAGACTCAAAACCTAGGAGTCCTGGATTCCAATCTCTCACCGCTACCCCCCTCCCCACAATCCAATACGGTGCCAAGGCCCGTCGATTTCACCTTTGTAGCATCTAGCACGTCTCCTTCTCTGCCCGGCCCTGGTGCTGGCCGCCATCACCTCACCCTGGACCACTGCAATAGAGGTGGGGTCTGTCTGCCTCAAGGCTCTCCCCACTCAGTCCTCCCTCCATTCAGCCATTACAATGATTTTCCTAAAGCACAGGTCTGTCACACCCCTAAACACCAGGGTTCCCTCTCTCACTCCCAAGATCAAATACAAAATGCTGTTTGGCATTCAAAGCCTTCATTGCCTGCCCCCTCCCCCACACATTCTTCCACGCAGTGACCCTGGCCTCCTGCAACTCTTCATTTCTCGTTGGCTCTGGGCATTCCCCAGCCTGTAACATGCTCTTCCTCCTCCACATCAACTCCTGACATCCGTGGCCTCCTTTGAGTTCCAACTAAAACCTCACCTCCCCAACCTTAATTATTTCCTATTTATCAGATCATAAGCTCCCTGAGTGCAGGGATGGTCTTGCCTCTTTTGGTGTGCCTGGCTTTCAGCCCAGTGCCAGGCACACAGTAGGCCCTAAGCCTAGTATGGCAAATGTTTACGGATTGTACTTCCCATGCTCCAGGGCATCAAAGGGGAGGTTGCTGAGTAACAGTGGCAGTGAGGTCGGAAGGACCTCATACATTCACAAAGGTCATATGCGCTTGGATTTGCCTTGGGTGCCCACTCCCATTTCCAGGGCAAAGAGTCCTACTTTCTCCCAGAGAAAAGACAAGCAAGAGGAGAGGTGGGCAAACGCATGTTTGATCATCTGACCATCCGCAGGCTCTGCACTTTCACTTTTAGTTAAAAAAACGCCTTTTGTGGTCCTTAGCTTCTCCACCCCTTCAGGAACTTTTAAACTGGCTGTTCACAGAAAGGAATCTGGATCCCCGGTTGTGTTGGCTGTATTTGCTTGATGGTAAGTGATGCATGCGGTCACCTGGCAATATGGCCAGAGGGCTCAAGGGTGACTCCTCACACTGCCCAGATGCTGTTGACTCCTTCACCAAAGCTGTGCCAAAAGGGTGCCATGGAGAGCCTCGGACTTGGTTGGGAAGGCCCAAGTTCAAATCTGGCCTCAATCCCCTGATCACTGTGTGCCTCAGTTTCCTTGAGTATCAAATGGGGATAACCATAGCACCTCTCAGTGAGGTACTTGTAAGAGCTCGGCACAGCGCCCTCAGCCTGGCTTTCCATTCCCTTCTGTCACTAAAGTTCAGCACTGACTAATACAGACACCAAGGTCTCATCCTCAGTCCTGCCACATTAGAGAAGAAAACCAACCCAACCCCACCCAGTCAACCAACTCACAACCTTGAAAACCTACTGGCCAAATCATGGTGTTACTTTCAACCAACTGAGTCATTAAGACTGCTTATTCTGTTAATAGACTCAACACGTCCAACAAATACAAATACTGAAACACAACACTGCATGACCCTCTGAGCTTCGGCCGGCCCAGCAGCTCTGCAGCGATTCTGAAGCCTCGCAGGCGGGGGCGTCTTGATGCCTTCTCCCACATGGATTCCGGGTTTGTTTTTAAACTGCGGTGCTGTTTCTGAGAATCCTATATCCTGTCATCAGGTGATGCTCAAGTCTCCCCGATGGCTGGCCATCTGGCTGTTTACAAGTAAAGCCGCCATGCCAACTTTGTACGGGCCATCCTCTTTTGAAAGGAAGGGGAAATAGTCCAAGCAATGGAACCAGCGGGCCGAAGGGCAGGATGCTTTGTGACTTAGTACATGTTGCTGAAGCCATCTCCAAAGTTGGTACCAGCTGACCACCCCAATAACAGAAAAAAGGAACCATTGTCTGCAGCCCCACCAACACTTCAGGGCACTTTTTTTGCCCAATAAATGGTGCAGTTATCTTGTTATCTTAAAGGTAAATAAACCTCTTAGAAGTATTTTCCTTCAAATGATAAAGAATTTACCATCTCCTCTCTTAAGAAACAAACTCTTAATAGCTGGCTCCATCACTCTTATCTGAGAGGCAGCACGGTCTAGGGGACAGTGATGACTCCGGAGTCAAAAAGATCTGGGTTCAAATCCTGTCTTAGACCTTTACTAGCTGTGTGTGCCTGAGTCTCCATCTGCTTGTCTGTAAAGTGGGGATATTCTCTCAAATCAGAGAATGTACATAAAACCCTCTGAAAACTGTAGGGTGCTCTACAGAGATGACCTGTCACTCTGCCACAACAGTCACACAAAGAGAGAAGAGGCTGGCTAGCGCGCCCCTCAGCTCAGGATGCCTGCTAGAGGGAAAAGGAGGGGGGGGGGCTTGTCCTGGGACCGAGATCCCCGCCGCCAAGGCAGCTCCTCCAGACACTTTTCCAGGTTACAGAGCAAGTTTCCAGGGGGTTTTCCAAGCACAGGTAATTTCTGCCCTGGTGGGCCACAACCCTTTCTCCACTCTCTAGCATAAGCATGTGAACTCAGCACTTACTGGTGTGCAGACTTCAAGTTCTCGGAGAGCCCTAAAGCACAAGGACAGGGGGCAGATAGATGCAAACAGCAAGGCTGCCCTAGAGTCTGGTTGCAGCTACATCTTCATTGGGAGAATCCAGTCGTTCTCGGTTCCCTCCCTGGCCCATCACCTGGGGGGGGGGAGGGAAGAAAATGGACCAAAGCACAGGAAGGGCTGCAATCTGCACCAGTGGAAGCCATGCTCCATGCTGCTCAAACAACGGGTCTTGGCAGTAAACAGGTCTGTCTCTCACAGCACAGTTCCTTGTCAGACCATTCGCCAGAGCACGTGAAAGAATGAGCTTGGGGAGGGGATCCCTACAGTCACAAAGTGCAGAGCATGGAGGTCCACATGGTCTGTCCAGGGGCCCTGGGAACTCTCCTTAGGATCCAGGCGATTGGTACCCCCTGGGCTCAGTAACACGGCAGCTCTGTCCTTGGTGGAAAGGGGGGGATGGTGTAGAATTCAAGACACATTCAACGAGTAGGTTGTATAATAAAGTTTATTAGCTGTTCTCCCCTTTCTGACATATGGAATGGACATGGATCATCTTTATAAACCAGCTCTCATCTGGCTGAGAAAAAACAAGGAGGAAGTTGCTGGAAAACATATATTTAATAAACAATCAACTTCAAATAAGCGATGGGCAGCTACCAAACAATTTTAATATGAATGGTGCAGCGCCAGGGCCCAGCTCTGTTCCCAGCTGTGGTCCAAGCTGAAAGCACACCAACCTGCAGTTCTGTTGTGACTTCTCCCTCCGAGAAAAGGGAGGGTTGGGGCAAGCAGAAAACAAACAACTGGAACTTTTTGTAGAAAAGAGGAGAACATGTTCATACCATTTTCTGGCAATTCATTTCCCTCTAAAGATTTTCCCCAACAACCAGACATAGTTTGCATTTCACATGATTAAGGAAGATCGATTCTAATTAATATTTATTTTCAAAACCAAACAAAAAGTTAGGAATAGGTGGTAAAAGAAAAATATATATTTTTAAATATATATATATATATATATATGTGTGTGTGTGTGCGCAACTATGTAAAGAAAATAGTTCCCATAGTTACAGAGTTTTAGTTAAAGAAAGTTTAATATATATATTTTATTATTATAACAAAATAGGCAGTTATCATGGGTAAAATACTCGTTAAAATCTGACCCCAAAGAATACATGTCATTTTCTGAACCGGGTTCCTTGGCCACAGCCCTATGGATGGCCATGACACGACAGTCCAGTCGGCTCATTTTTGTCAGCATTGACGCCCGTGAACCGTCAGCCCTCTGTGTAAAGGGCAGGCTTTCCTAGCACCTAAACGTGGTCTCGATTCAGAAAACGGGAGGATCCCTAGCAACAGGTGTAAGACACTGTAAATAGTGCTGTACGAGCAGGATTAAAAACATTGAACGTCGCTATTCCTAGCAATTGTATCAGGAAAAAAAGAAAAGAAAAAAAGGAAAAAAAAAGAGAAAAAAACTCTAAAAGCAAAGTAACCCTTGAGAAAACGAATATCCCTTGTGAAACTAGGAAAGTTAATGCAGACGTTAATCTGAAATTAAAAAGAGAACAAACCGAAGCAGAGATTTTCCTGAACTGCCCGTAAAACAAACAAAACCCTTTGCTCTGATAACGAGTCAAATTTGGAAGAAAAAAGCCTCGAAAGCGGCATTGGCCAAACCATGCTATTACAGTGGGCGTGCAAAGTTGCTCACAATTTATTAAATCATTGATTAAGACCATTTTTCTTTCACTTGTTATGAAATTTTAAAAGACTGTATAGAAAGCTTTTCTGAAAATCTCTGAAAGTTACTTTCCCTTAAACATTAAGGAATTTACCACAATTTCCCCATCCCCCCAAAACCCTCAATAGCTGGTTGGGCCATTCCATCTTCAGTTCTGAAAAATGGCAGCAGACCAACAGTGACACGCGAGAATACAAAGGAGCAAACATAAAGGGTGACAAGATGCTTCAGAAAAGAGGAGGACCGGCAGGGCAGGGCAGGGCAGGGCAGGGCAGGGGCAGGAGAGGCACGAGCTCGTCCTCACAGCTTCTCCTTTGCCGGGACCCAGATGGAAGGACCTGCCTGCTCTTCGATGATCTGCTTCACCTGGTTGTAAATGTCTTCCAGTGTGTCCCCCTGCACGATGGCTGTAACGGAGAGGAAAGGGTGTGAGTGGCAGGTGGGCGCAGGGAGGGGACGAGGGGAGGCAGGCCCCACGATTCCTGCAGCCCCTCTCTCTTACACACCCACACGCATTTCACTGGGGAGGCCCAACGGAGGCCTCTGGAGTGACCAGTGTCCCTCTGTCAGTGCCTTCCAGCCTGAAAGACTGAGGACTAAGGACAGTAGCGCGTCAGGGCTACGCACAAGAGAGGACCACACTCTATATGTGAACCGATCAGCTGGAGGCAGAGAGCCAAGCACCGGATGTGACTGATGCAGACACCACGAAGAGGATGGAAGCGTCTTCTAAACGTTCCATTTACTTTACAGAGAAAGAGCTGATCCAAACAGAAGCTACCAGGACAGGAAAAACCCCGCTGCTTCCCTGTCGCCTCAGCGAGGCGGGAGAAACAGAACCGCAGGGAGATTTCAAATGAAAACAAGACGACGGGGACAGGCAACACTTCAGGCTTTCAGATGCACAGGATGGCAACGCATCAACGCATCTGTGCATCAGGAAGGCCTTCCTCGAGATTCCCAAAGAGCTCAGAGGCTTTCAGGTGCAAGCACCTACTGGGTGCCAGGCACTGTGCCAAGTGACGGGGACACAAAGAAAGGCGACGTTCCTGTTCAAGGGCTTCCCAAATGCAAACAACTCCATACAGGCACAGATGAAACAAACAAGATGAAGTGGAGATAATTAACATGGGAAAGCAATCGACTGCCAATAAACCTTTATTAAGCACCTACTATGTGCCAGGCACAGTGATAAGCACTCCCAGAGGAGCTCTGTACAGGATGTGCAGGAGGGCATGAAGGGATGGCCTTGGAATGAAGAGGGCTGGGGAAGGCTTCCTGGAGGAGGGGTGGCCAGAGGGAAGGCCCAGAATCTCCTCCTCACCCTCGTCATCGGCTCTGGGAAAACAGTCAGAGCTTGAGCTGGCGCCAGCAGCTCCCTGGCAAACCCATTTCTTGTATTTCCTGATTTTAACATCCCGGTCAGACAATTCGCATTCAGTCCCTCAAAACTGAAAGCTGGCTCTCAACAAGCCAATGACCTTGAGATTCTCATCTCCAAGCATCAAAACCTCTCCCCTTTCGAGCTGAAATGAACACCAATCATTTACACTTTGGGAGGGACACTGAGCTACTCAGATGCTGTCAGAGTGGATATAAAACCTGCTATGCTACCAGGGTGGGGGAGAAGAGAGAAAAGTATATAAAATGGTCTCATGGGAATTTGGAGCTGTTCAAAGATGGCTTCGTAATGAAGTTTTAAAAGAGAAACAAGAAAAGTTTGCTATTGAAATAAAGTTTTTTTATAATAAAAAGTTTTTTTATGACAAAAATTGTTATTAAAAGTTTTAAAAGGAAACAAAAGACAAAGCAGGGAAAAAAAGACCTGTAATGATTAAAACAAAGATCAAGATACTGGAGAATCCACAAAGGGGTAAACTCAGACCTGGACGGGGTCACAGAAGAAACAGTTCATGCTTTTCGTGACCGGGGCAGAGCCAGGAACTCTGTGCTAGGCTATGCCAATAAAGCACTTTTGCTCCAGGACAGATGCCCAGTGACCGAAGACCAAGCAAGAAAGAGTGAGACCCGACAGACAGCCCCCAGTCACCTTCCGGAGCAGGGCGAGGGGGGTCAGACAGGATTAATCTCACCACATTAAGCTGCCTGTGGGCAATGTATGCTTCCATAGGCTCCTGCTGCAGACCAAACCAGTGTCAATATGCCCATCTCCATGTCCCTATGGAAAAAAATCCATGAAAAAAAATTCTACAAAATGCCAACCTGTGAAATGCTCTGTAAACTCCTGTTCCAGTTTCATGGCTCTCTCAAACGTCTTCCTGGCCTGCTCCTCTGTCAGACGTTTATTCATTTCCCTGTAGAAAAGAGTGAAACTCAGAGGATGGTTCTTGAAGTGCACCGGTGTCCCGGGGAGCAGGTCTACCAGAAAGGTGGCCTTGGCCCCAGATGTCTCTAGGGACTGGCGGAGGGGCTGGAATTCATTTCCTGCTGAATAACTGTTATAGACCTATTGGGGTTTACTCTGGTGACACTTTTGGTTTTGAAATTCTTCAACTGTTCATCAGGAAAGGGAATGCAGACTCCAGCGAATCAACTCTAATGAACAGCATTTCAATAGGATGCTTTCTGTACAAAAGAGCCAAAGTGAAAACTGGGTTGCCTTCACTGTCTTCTCAGCAGAGGACAGTGAACTTTGAAGGCTAAACCTTGTAAAAAGCGGGCGATGGGGCTGCTGGACCAATGCTGCTCTGAGCAGGGACACCTTTCCATACGAGCTGGACGAGGCCGCCTCTGCAGTCCTGCCCACATCTTCAATCCAGGACAGGCTGGAGTTCCAGCAGGAGATGCCCTTCAGACCACCTCTCCACCAACAAGACGCCAACTGGACACTGGGCCCTTCCCCCCAGACTCAGGAAGGGCAGTGGCAGGCCAACCCCATAAAAGTGGGTCAGGCCCCCGGGGGGGCAAGGCAGCCTGCCACCTAACTGCCCTTTGATTAGGGCTACTTAGAAGACCAACTGCTGAAAGTCTTAGGCTTCAGAGAAAACATTTTGGCTTTGCCTTCAAACTAACTGGCAGCTTTAAGTATCATGTCCTAGGGCAATATGCAAAAGCCTTTGCTGGGACCCAGAGAACTTCACTGTAAACTCACATGATATTTTCCACGGACTTGGGTTTAATAAAAACAGAGATGGGATAGAGCTGTGCAATCTGCAGCCTCTTGATGGCATTTCCTGAGACGTCAAGGATGCAATGTTTGCCCTAAAACAGAAAAACACAAAGGAAAAGCAGGGCCGTTACTGCCATCGCGCAGGAAGGCCCTTCCTGGGCCTGTCTCCACCTTCCGTCAGCTGAGGCAACTTTCCTTCTCTTCTCCTAAAGCCCAGGCAAGAAGAGGCCCAGCGAGGGCCGTGGATGCTGAGCCGTGCCCAGAAGCCTGCTCTGAGACACAAAGACCACCCACCATCCTCTGAGATTTCGATGCAAACGTTTCTTGGCATATTGAAATCTCAGCACGATGGGCCAGCACCCTGATTACATGCCTTTGTTCTAACAATCCCCTTTCCAACTCTGAGTATTTTTAGTTTCTTCCAAAGCTCAACTCAAATGCCGCTCAGGCAACTCCTGACATGTTTTACTTATACTACACACCCACCCCCATCCTTGTGGGCAGGGCCTTGAGAGGAATGAAGCTGAAAGGGTAGGGAGTGGTAGTCAGAGGGATTTCAAAGTTCTGAATAAGGGAGACTGAGCATGTTTATAGGTAACGGTCAAATTCAGGGCATGACCCTCCCTCCCAGGTCACTGCTATGGATGGAAAGTGTCCTGACTGCCCCATTCTCAAGAGTGAGAGGGTGAAAGGGTCATTCTGGTCCGCCCAGTAAAACTTTCTTTTCCCTAAAAGTCTTATAAAGCCAACTAAGGTCATGAGAGCTCGTCCTGAGAAAAGCCTCTTCACAGAGGTGGAAACAGAGAGCAACACTAATGAATTCTGGTGACGACCTAGCCCTCCTCCTTCTGAGTGTCCAGGGTTTCGGCTCAGCCACGCCCATCTCCACTGGGACCCCCAGACCGAGGCACTTCAGTGAGGCAGGGCCGCTCACCTTTTCAGCGACCTCGCGCACAGACTGCACGCTGGTTCCGTAGAGGTGGCCATTGTACTGCCCGGCCTCGATGAACTTGTGGTCCTGGATGTCTTTTTCCATCTGTTCCCTCGAGGTCACAAAGTGATAATCTCTGCCGTCCACCTCATAGTCTCGCTTTGGTCTGGTTGTGTCTTAAAGAGAAGAAGAAGGAAGACACCTGGGGGTTAAAAGGGGATCTGGGCACCAGGGAAAGCAAAACCCAAGGCTGCACTGGAGGAGGACCACCAAAGGGTCTTGCAGATGGGGACGCTCAGTAGGGACACTCACGTGGGACACAGGATCCGAACTTGTCCGGGAATTCGGAGATCAGATCATCGTTGATCCTGTCTTTCATGGGTCCCAAGACGATCACAGGTCGAGTGTAACTCACTGCACAGAGACGAGGACAGTCACTACCCCGGCAAGGACAGAGAAGCTTTGCCAACGTCACCTCAGCACTGTCCTCCAGCCAAGGGAAGGGCCCTGGACAGGAGAGGCTGAGGGAGGCCGAGCCCCCCTGCCAACAGTGACAAGAAGGGTCCCAGTGGGCAGGGGCACGTCTCTGTCTGTCCCACTAAAAGGGATCAGCAGTCTTCTTGCCGACAGTCAAGCTGGCCTGGCCCTTGGTAACTGGAGCTGGGACACCAACTTCCCTGGCTGCACCCATGGGGGGGGGGGCAGGGCATGCATAGTTCACTAGGGCGGGCCTGCAGGGACTTTTGTCCCTGAATACTCAATCATAAAGGACGTTATTTTTATTCATCAAACTAGAGAAATAAAAACTTGATTTGTCTTTAAAAGAACAATCTTCACTACAACAACACATTTTAAAAAATGAGACGCCCGATCCCCACCTTGGGAGAGGTTAGGATACAGATGCTCAGGCATTATGCCTGTCGCACCTTCTGCACACAAAGACATGTCAGCTCGTGAGGGCCTGGCACCCAGCAATGTCAGGACATGTCACCAGTGATGACAACTGCGACTTCCAGATTTCAGGTGCCCAAACAGGCCGTAAGCAGGAGCACTTCAGGTGTGGACAAACAAGCCCTGCGTTAGAAAGACAGGGACGAAGCCTGATTCCTAACGAGAGACGTCTGATGCAGCATTGGAGCAATGCAGGCCGGCAAGGACCACGACATCTGGCCAGAAATACTCTCTAGTATCTCTGTTCCCTCAGGCGATGGGCACCACAGGCCCTGAAGGGCACACAAGGCAGCCCCTGGGAGGGGGAAGGGAACAAACATTTCTGGAGTAACTACTATGTGCCAGGCACTGTGCTAAACGCTTTACAAAAGTTATCCCACTTGATCCTCCCAACAACCCCGCCAGGGAGGTGCTGCTATTATTATTATCCCCATTAGGAAACCGAGGCAGACACAAGTGAAGTGACTTGCCCAGGATCAAATAGCTAGCAAGTGGCTGGATTTGAACTCAAGTCTTCCTGACCCCAGGCCCGGTGCTCTGTGCAGGGTAGTGCCACCCTAGTGGCCCCCTACCTCCTCCCACTCATGGCCTGGAGAAACACGAGGCCCAAGGACATCCGTCACCAGGGGAAGAGATTCCTGATGACCACAGGATCAGGGAAGGGGCGTTGGCCGGGCTGGGCTTCATCTCACCTTCTGCAAGAGGCGTCTCTCGGTCTCCCACCCACCCACACTGACTCTGGTCTCCCGGGGCTCTGCCCTTCTTTGTCTCTGGCACATTTGTTAAGTGCTGACTGAGCATCCAGAAGGAACCTCATGGGCTGGCGCATTTGGGAGGAATCTTGTTGTTAAAGACAAAATGGAACTTCCCAAGTACAAAGGGAGGCTGGGATTTAATCAATCAATGAATCAGTAAAGACTTATTAAGTACCTACTATGTGTAAAAAGTAGTTGGTCTGAAAGGAGAATCATTGCAGGGCTGGGGCGGGGGAAGTGAAGGGCCCTGAACGAGAAGAGGACTGTTGTCTCCAACCATTCCAGGGGCCGGACTGTCTCCAAGTGGAATCATGGGCCGCTGCCAGAGGGAGGGGGTGGGGAGACTCAATGGCCGGATTCTGGGGCAGTGGGGAGGAGGGAAAACCAACTAAGGCCACTTTGTGTTCTGGGAGGGCACGTGGGGCCACATGGAGGCTCCTGGGTCTGTCACAATGTCCGGGTGGACAACGATCCGGAGCTTGGCAGAAAAGAGCTCTTACGGCCCCCTAAGCAGTTCAATATATTGGTTTGTGACTCTGTCACATGGGGGTGCTTCTGATGATTCACATAAGGTAGAAAAGCAACAATTCACAGGCAGGAAGGCCCCAAAGGGAAGGGTTTCAACTAATGAAGCCTCTGCTCATCATGAGCAATGGAGGGGGAGACAATAAGAGGCAGAAGCGTTTTTTTTGCACAAACAGAAAGTTAACTGAACGGAAACAAGGGCTCTGGGAAGGGGGCACCGTGCCCAAGGAGGCTGGGAGGCAGTGCAGGGCTTTCCATCCTACAGCCAATCCAGAGCCCTGTGCCCAGTCACTTCATTGCCTCGGCTCCTGGGGCTGTGGCTCTATGGGACGAGGGCCTGAGCTAAGATGGCGGCTGACAGGCTCTGGGGCTGTAACAACCCGACTGGCGGGCAGGTGAGGTCTGCAAAGTGCTTTATCATCTCATCTCATCCGAAACTCTCTCTCTTCCCAAACCTCAATCTTGACATTTATGAGGAAGGAAGAGCTGACAAAACTCCCCGCTCAAACACTGTCGTCCTTATCTTGCCTCCGGTAACCTGAGCCTGACCGGAAGCCGCTCGGATCACCGCCGACACCGCGATCCTCGGTGTTTAGAAGGATGCTCAAGCACATGTGATCTTTCATCGGGGGCCTCCAGAGGCCTGCATGAACATCTATGCCAGGAAGGGAACTGACACAATCCAGGCATGGGGAACCTGCGGCCTCGACACCACACATGGCCCTCTGACCGGACCCAAACGAGCTAGTTTCCACATCTGACTTCCAATAAACCTACAGCATCTAAGGTGCGGGACCACACTTTGGGGCTCTGGAGTTGACCTCAAACGACCATCATGAGTAAGCCTTGTGTCCCCAGCCAGAGGCTAAGGGAGCTCCCTCATCTGCACAGGCAAGGAGCACCAGGACCCCCAATCATAAATACGTTGTTTTCAAAGATCACCTGACATGCCCACGACAATTGAATCTCAGAGCTGGATGGCATCCCACGGGTGATCCAGGCTCGTTCCGAACAGATCACACCCAGCGTTCACCCAGCGTTCTGCTGAGGGCCTTTACTGAAGGGCCAAGTCAACCATGCCACTCCTAGACAGTTATCATCTGTATCGGCACCTTCCGCACACTGCTGCTCCATCTGCCGTCAAGGACCAGGGAGAGCACATCTGCTCCCTCTTCCATGTGACGGCTCTTTCACCACTCCACTACAGCTATCACGAGTTCTCTCTGGGCTAAAGACTCCCACTCTCCCAACCAATCCCCATTATGACAGGGAATTGGGACTCTTCCCTACCCTGGTTGCCCATTTCCTTTGGCCAGCCTCCAGTTCATCAACAGGTACCCTAAAAAGGGATGCCTGGAGCTCGACTTTAGGACCACACACGAGGCCTGACTTGGGCAGAGAGTAGGGGCACTGCTGTGCCTCTCTCCAAGAAGCTGATGATTCCATCGATTGCCTGGCTGCCTCACATTGAGCTTGTGGGCCCTTACAGCTTTTCTCAGACCAACGCCTGTCTGGCCCCACCTCTTACCCCTTCAACTTGAAGAGGGTGGTTGGCTGCACTTTTCCCAAATGGATTTGGCTCCACACATCAGCTGGCTAAGTAGGTCTCTGACCCTTAGCACCCCTCCCTGTTAACTGGGCCACCTGCACATACCTGCCTGTCTGAGACATCCCAGAGGAGCAATGGTGTAAATGATGGGGAGGTCAAACCATGTTTCTTGAAACAAATTCACAGAATAAAATTCTAACAAAACAGCTTTCCCCAAAAGAAATTAGCTCCCTTCTCCGAGATCAGGGAGAGACCCAAGAGTGCTTTACATATCTGTTTCTAGGCACACAGAAACATTTACATTCAGTGGATTGCACAAACCTTCTTGCTGATTCACTGGCTCATAGGACAGGACATATTCTTCTTGACCACCTGTTACAAAGTTAAAATGCAGATGAGAGAATCTATAAAGAACCTCAATTAACAGCCACCCACCCATCCATCCATCCATCCATCCATGTAGCTATCTATGTTTATGTTTATGCACACATAAACTTTGTGTTTTTCTAGATTAAAAAAACAGAAGTGAGGTATCAAAGAAAATGTTTCACCTAATAAGCTGATTATGGCAACAGTCACTAAAAAAACTGGTAAATCATCAAATCAAAATGAGGAAAAAAAATGAAAAGGAACAGTAATATACACAGAGATATTCTATTTATACTGTGACATTTTATGCTGGTATATTTGTTCAGTCTCATTTTGTGCTGTTGTAACTGGGTGGAGGTGAATTTTTATGCATGTATGAAAACAGAATCACCGTCATAGTTTTTAAAACTGTAATTACCGACAGATTCAAGACACACCACACAGCTGCTTATCCGTCCATCCATCCCTATAGGAATCATCTCTCTGGCTTCTAACACGATAAAATGTTAAAGAGTCGAGAGAATTAGCAATAAACCAAATCTGCTTTTTGAGGATGGAAGGTTGCGCAAGACTTTCCATATCACTCCTAAAGGAGGTCACTGGAGGTCACTGAGGAGTCTAAGGTAGCGACAGCTCCTCTATAGAGCAACATTTCTGGTACATAGGAATGGATGCAGCCGGGAGCCAAGTCCTTTCCATTCTAGAAGAAGGACAGCTTGGAATTAAATGAAAGCGCTCACACATTCTGCTTTGAAGTGAAAAGCTTTTTGAATGTCAAAGGCAAGTGTCTGAAACGTGCTTCAGCTGCCACTGCCCTCCTCTGAAATGCAAGTGTTAATGTGCAGGAAGGCATCTTATGTAAAGATTCTCCCAAGTCTAGGAATTATAATTGAATTAGACAAAGTTCATAAAGAAAAAGCTAGAAATGTAACCACATAAAACGCCAACTAACGAAAACCCGAATGAACGATCAGAACCACACAGAGACCACTGCGGGCATCTGTTATACTGTGGACTTGGAAGAGAAACAAGTGTGAGGTGGTCCAATGAAAGGCCTCCATCTTGGGAAATCTCTCTTCTCGGAATGGCAGCTGAAAGGCCCAGCTTGGCCCCTTCCCTCTATTTTCAGGCCAGAGCCCGAGCTTTTGTTGTTTTTGACTCTTTCAATGGATGGCATGGAGTCCTCAACATCCTTTATTTAGTTTCCAAGGGCATTTCGCAGCAGATAAAAGAGACACCTCACAGGTTATTGTTCACCTATGGCATGTAAAACACTTAGGAGCCTAAGCCCCAAAACACGCAGTCTTAAAGTCTTCATGTCTTCAAAAGCTCATGCATCTGGAGGATGGGGGGGGGGGGGGAAGAGAGTACATACTCTCATGACTCTCTGAGCTGGTGCACTTGTTTGCTACAGCTCCTATTTCCCCAACCCCCGGCAGTACGGTGCTGCCTTTTGTCTCCTTGGTCACAGGGAACACTGTCTAGTAAAAGCAAACCTCGTCCACTACAAATGAGGGTCAAAAGTATATACCGTCACCGTGGCAAAACACATGTGAATAGAGTGGCCCTTTTGAACAACCATACTCATCTGTAATCAAAATTACTTTCACATTAGACAGCAGTAAAGAAGTCAGAAAGGCAATTTTAGTTTATTAAAGTGCTGTAAATTAAAACAAAAAGCCCCACTTTCTCCCCACCCCAAAAACTTATCAACCAACTTAACTTTTTTGGATGTTTCATCAAAAAAAGAAAAGCAACAAGTCCCCCAAGTAGACCAGAATTAGTAAAGGTAAAATAAAGTGCTAGTTAACAAAAGGAGTCATGTTAGGAAATTTAGAATTTCTTTTACCATCTCGTTTGTTTGGCCAAAACTCATGGCTATCAACAATGGTGAGTTGACAGAAGTTATATCTGGCGACATAAAATCTGTGATTGAGTTATTGTAACTTAACCTAAAAAGAGGTGCACTTTATTACTGTTGTTAGAAAGCACCTTATAATTCAACGAAAAGTACAAAAAATTAAGTTCTCTTTAAATGAGAAATTTATTTCTTCTAAGAGGTGGCAACATTACACATGCACTTAGTAAAAATGATGACTTGCTCTTCAAACAATTCACGCCAATATCTTAATAGTTGTGGAGGTTTTTAAAAAGTTGCTTCAATTTTTTTTCAGTGTTTTCTTGTAACAGAACATCTGCCACTCAATATTTGCAATCCACATTAAGGGAAGTACATGAAAACAAATTATATTCCCGGGGATTAAAAAGAAATAAATAACAGAACACTTACGGTAACTACTTTCACTATCGCTGGCATTAGAAGTCACATGCTCTGAAAATGCAACACAATGGAAAAATAAGGAACCACAATGTCATGAATTTTTAAAAAAAGCTGAGAAAATTTATCAAAATAAAGACAAGCTGACATTACAAAACACTGAGATATAAAGCACACAGAAGCAAAGAGCTTATCAAACAATTCCTGATTTTCTTTACAGAATTTAATTCCATTTAAGACACAAAAATCAGGCAAGAAAAGTGATCTTTACCAGGGACACTGTGAAATTTATCTAGATACCATAAAACAGATGACAAACTACATGTCTGTGAACTAGGCGAGAACAGGACAAAGAAGGGCAAGGTGTAACTGAAGCATCTGGCTTGTGGGGAACGTTGTTAGCCTGAGGTTTTGTGCCGAGCAAACAAATGCCTTCCTCAAAGGCAGAGGTCCTCAAACTCCAACGTTTTTTAGTTCAATTCCTTCTTTTCTGACTCTCAAGTGAGAGAAGATTTCATGTTTTGAGTTTACAGGCAAAGCTCTTTTGAAGGCACAAATTCTGAAACTTCAAAGAAAATAAGAGAAGGAAATTTAACAGGGAAAACTAGGCTTCCAAACTTCCAGTGCTGAGACTGTGATGATGACAGCTATGCTGCCATTTTGAAAGGTAAACACTGAGCCCAGACCACCATTTTTAGTGAGTTGGAGTGCAGCCGTGTTTCCCCTAAAACAAGCCCTACCTTTAAGGATAATTCTGGCCTCACAAACTTCGCCTCTGACCATCACACCATCATGGATTCTTCAACACGTCTAACATACTCACCCACTCACCCTAAGCTGGCTGACCTGGGAGGTTGCTGTTTGTGCTAATGGACACCTGGAGGGTAACAGGGAAAGAGGAAATTGTTCCTTTGAGGAACTGAGTGCTTGGTTTGGGGCAGTCCCTGATTAGGGCACGGGAGGCACAGACATCCATCGGATCCTTAAATGATCTATAAGAAGATAGACATGGCTGCCTGTGAGATTTTCCTAGTGTTGCAGGGCCTGCTCCAGTCTGCCTTCTGTGAGCATGGTCTCCAAGAACCAGGATCACCTTTCCACTCTGAAGAGGGTCCGTGGAGGCAGCGAGGAGAGCATGAAGGCTTCAGTATTTGGTGGCTAGAAAAAACTTTTAAAGTTGGAGATGGGGTGGGGATTCTAGAGAATTTGGACAGGGAAAGGCATCAGTTACACCTTATTACCCAAAGAATCTCCTAGAGTCAGAGAGTTCTGAAAGAAGAGAGAAGAAACAAAAGGCACTTTTAAGAGACAAGCATGAATGCTTTAGACTACAACAGTAGGAAACGATTATCAGAGAAAGGAGGCTGCATTCTTTACACGTCACTGAGCAGCCAAGGCAAGGAACCATGTATGGGATGGTGGATGTGGCCGCTGCTTTAGGTCTGGTCAGGGCTAACTCTCAATCCTACATCGTGTTTAGTTCCACTCCTGGGGGCTGGGGATGGGGAGAAGAGCAGAGACACTTGCCTAGAGAACAAGACATCTTCGCTCTGATCTGAACTAGGAATGTCTGATTCTTCACATCCGACTGTCCTGGAATGGAATGTTTTGGCACCTGAACAAGCAACAGGTGAACCTGAAGGCCAATGTAAGTGAAACTGTAATTTCCTTGATTGAAATATCTGGCATTGCTGTCAATGTGAGAACCCACCAAATGCTACAAATACCACACGGCCTAAAATAGAACAGGAATTATGAGAACTCCCATTTTCCCAGCGCTCCAATGCTCACAAAGAGCTGTGGAAGGAAGGCAAAAGGAAGGAACCAAATTCAGCCCCTGGTTTCAGTTTAGCTACTTGTCTCTGGATCTAGGCTGCGCCAGAGAATTCTGCAAACATCAGGGTTTGGTCAGTGACGCCCACCCGCACTGCATGCTGCCCACAGACCAGCCGCTTCCTGGGATTTCTCAAGACGGACACTGTATTGCCCAGGGGCACTGAGACGTCTTCCATTCTCATTCAATCTGAGATCATACTCAGCTCTACCGTACACTTCTTATTCTTATCTCACATAAATTGAGAGAAATGAGGGCGTGAAAAATCAAACTGTGTCTTTATGTACAGAGAAATCATATGCTTTTAAACTTCCTACAAGTTTTTCATCCTGGAAGATGAAAAAAATTTAAATTTATTCACATTTACTTTATATCATTTAGTCTAACAGCTAAAGGCAGCCTGAGAGAAACTGAACAAAAACAGATAAAATACAAATTACACGGTTGTGAAATTCAATGCTTGCCTTTCAATACTGTCCTCAGAAAACAGAAATCAAATGGGACAGAGTGAGGGCTGGGGCTGGCAGACACGGCCACCCTGATATTGGCGCTTTCAAGTTCCAAAAGGAGAGGCTACCAAGAAGGCTTATGAAGGACCGCGGTGGTGTTTTTAATTGATGCTTATTCTTGGAGGCAAATCGGAAACGATTATCGCCCAGACCAAACGAAGGTCTTATGAGACCCACAAAGGCATTTGGAGAGGTTTTTCACATCACAGCAATTCAGAAGTTACCAACTTTAATGTTCTGCTTTACAGAAAATGAATATATTAACTGCTTCATGAAGCTAAACTAAGTGTTGTACTTGTGGGCTAATTAACCTGAACTGAGACGCCACCGAGGGCCATTTCCCTGCTCCTCCCTGCTCTCTTCTCTCCATCACCTCCAGCGAGCCAACTTTTAAAAGGGGGGTGGAATCCGAAGGGTTAGGCTTCACTATTAGCTCCTCTGCTTTCTAAATGAACACACTGTTAAACTGCAAGTTCCCTGAAACTCTTTTCCTCTTCGTAATCCTACGTTTTATACACGAATGCTGTGATGTTGATGGTTTTCCAGCATTCAGTCCCAAAAGAAAATTAACTTTATGGCCACTGAGGTCTCCCCCAACTTTGACCAAATCTCAAGATGGACATCTCCATGGACATCTCCAATCAACCGACATCTGGCCTGTGTGTGAAGGTCTCTTGTTATGTCCAGGGCAGCCCATTCTTGCTTTGGGATTTAATGTGCTATAGCTTCCACATGATGAGGCTTAGCTTTAGTTTTTAAAAATACCAATTGAAAATTTAAAAAACCATAACAAAGCATTCAGCTGTCAACAAAATTACAATGAGGAAAATGTGTTTTTGAACACATTGAGGAGAAATTGTGCAATGCATGTAGGTAAATCACTGGAGACAGAAACAGAAACCAGAGGTGGGTTTTACAGCGAATGAAAACCCAGGCATGTTATTGTGAGAACTCTAAAAGCGGACTAGATTAGGAGGCTCTCTAGGCCAGAAGACGCTGCCGCCAATCTGGTCAGTATCTGACAAAGTCAGGTCTGTCTACGGATGGGAGTACGGGATCACTTACTCAGGCCTTTTGATCCCATGTCGTCAGGGATCTCCTGTAGTAGACAGTAGTCCCCAGAGAGCAAGCGATAAAAAGATAATCAAAGAAAACAGTCGTCAGTCATGTACAAACCGGGTGCTACAACAAGAGACAGTTCCAAGACCATGGCAGGTGCACGCACTTTACACAGATGTCACAGGGGCTTGAAGGCTTCCGGGAATCAGCCCTGGGAATAAACACTGAGAACTTGGTTCTCTGCCTCAGCGGCTGCCAAGCCAGTACTTAGACAGGCTACAATCGCTAGGACATTACGTTCTGCAAGGCTAAAGAGCTGAAAACAGAATGACTGCCGGCAATCTAGCAAAGGGGCGGGTGGGATGATTCCACTGATGGTTAAGCGCCACAAGCCCCTTCGTGCCAACTTGGAACCTGCCGGCGGCTCCTTCATCACCTGGGGCAGCCCTTGAAACTGTCTCCATGGTAACAGCCTCCCGTGGGTGAGCGCTGGCGGCTCTTGGCTGGCGCCTGCATACTCACGGTCAACGTCACTGGTTTCCTGCTCACTCTGGTCCTTGCTCTTGTAGAAGGGGAACTTTCGGGGAAAGAGGTTCTTTTTACGCTTGCCATTGAGTGACTGCTGAAGAAGAGAAGGGGGCAAAACAAAGGGGGTCTAACGTCGGTGTGGACAACGGCCCGGCCTAGCAGCCCTGGGGAAGCCGACTCTCGTGACCACAGCGTGCAGTTTGTAACTGAACTGAGCTTTCACAAAACCCTCCAATTTGGCCGCGGTGCAGCCGAGAGCACTCAAAACCATAAAGACCAGAAACATCGTCTAAGAGGCCTGCCAAAACTGGGCATTCATGCTACTTGACTTAGTCTTCAGATCTGCTAATCAATGCCGATCAGTCTTGCAGTCACTGCCAGGCCAGAGGGCAGAGGGCACGGCTTCCGGCCATGGCAGTGAATCTCTTGTGCAGATCCCGGCAGATGCACTAATAGCAGCCTGGCACTGAAGTCCTTCCCCCTCTTCCTTGTTTATAGGAGAGAAAAAAACGAGGGGCGTGGTGGCAATGACCGAGAGGTGCCCACCAAGAGTTTCCGAGGCTGACAGGCCTTGGTAGGTCTGGGGGGCACAAGGCAGCTTGATCCCAGTGGCCGATCAGCAGCTTATAGCTGCTTACACACATTACATGTTCTGACAGCATCCTGTAGTGAATTCTAAAAAGCCATCAAAGACCCTCCCTGGTCTGGTGCCCGCAAGGCAGGAGGAATGGGGGAGGAGCTGGGATGGAGGCCGCCACCCTTCTGGTCCTGACCTGAAACCCTTCCCTCCTATCTGTAAGACACTTCATCAAAGGCCAGGTTCAACAAACCCAATCCTTCTTTTCTCCCCAGAACAAAAGCACTAAGGGAATACAGATGCTGATTCCATGAGGGACATGAGAACAATCTAGGTCCCCTGCCCTGGCCTTGGTCTAAGATTTTCATAGGGGTGAATTCAGCATTCACTTCACTTCCTTGGTTTACTTCTCCTAACCCTTAAACCTCATTGTGACTGGAATCTCTCCATTCACTAAAAATCAAGCAATCCCACACAGCTGCTACCAGGAGCAGGGGGCTCCCTGTCTGAGGAGGGCAGACTGGGGTTAGGGTCCACTCCAGCTCTGAGGTTCTGTGCTGCCGGGGCTTCTCGGTTTTCTGCTACTCACTCAACTCTGGTCCCCGCCTTCCTCACTCCTCCTCTTACTAAGGCAGCCTTGCAACCCTCTGACGCACCTCTCCACGAGGGCCCGGACTTCCATTCAGCCCCATTTCAGTGTAACTTTGCTTTGTCCCCTTCACCTCACTTCCTCTTCTGACAGTTGATGAGCTAACCTGGAGGAGGGCCGAGACAAAGTTTACCTAGCTTTTATGCCACTCCTGGGATAAAGATGGAGAGGTAAGGGCTAGACAGGAGTGCAATCCAGTGGATTTAGAGGGACCCAAGTTCCATCACTGAAGGGTCAGTGTCCACTTGGAAAGTGTCTCCTCAGGGATGCTTAGCTAACTTAGAGATGAGAGATAAAACGTGCACAGACAGTTAACAGCTTGAAAGACTAGAACATAGGGCTGAATCAAACAAGATAAATGTAAAATCTTGGGTTCAAGAAATCCACTTGACAAAGACAACATGGCCTGGGCTCGCCTCAAAAAGACCCGAGGTCTTTAGAGGACAGCAAACTTAATATGAGTTAATAGTATGCTATGATAGCCAAGAGAAGAAATGGGACCCGAGGGTGCACTGAGAAACAAAGCACACCACAAGAGGGAGGTCAGAGCCCCACTCCCCTCTGTCCCGGTAAGATCACCTTTGGGACACCGTGTTTGGCTTGGGGGACCGTGTGTGAGCTAAGGATGAGGAGGATGGGGCTCAAGGCCACCCAGGCTACCGTCCTACATGCTGGTGGGCTGGAGGAAATGGGCCTCTTTATCCTGGAGAAGAAACACCTGAGGGGACCCAGCAGCTGTCTGAAGGTCTACAGCGATGAGGCTTCTGCTTGGCCCCAGCACTTCCTCACCATCTGAGCTATCCCAAGGGAAATGCATCACCCGTTAAAGGCCTGGCCTCCCTCTCAGGGACTGGCGTGACGACTTTTTGCCACGTAGGGCACCCAGACCAGCCTGGCTGGCCTCTCAGATCCTTGGCACTGGCTTCCTCCAGAACAGTGACCTGCCTCCCCCACTTCTAGGGAAAATCTCTCCCTCTCTGCTGTCAACAAACCTGCTCAGGTTTCCTCTAGCCTAGGAAAGAACCAAGAAACCTTTCCCCGATTCTATCATCCCTTCCAACTGCTGTCCTCTCAACAATCTAGCTTCACTCCTCTGCTCCACAACAACTCTCTCCAACGTGCCCAGCAAGCTCCTATCGGCCAGGTCTCACCTTCCTTTTTGCAGCTTCCACGGCTGCTGGCCAGGCCCTCCTGCTGGACACGTGCCCTCCTGGCTCCCTTCCTGTCTGACAGCCCCTTCTGAGACCTTCAGCCATCCCCTGCCCCACCAGGCTCTTGCCGGGGCCTGACACTCTCTTCCTGGGGAAGAAAATAAGTTTCCAAGACTGACTTATGCAATAACTCCCAAAGTCTCCCCGCAGGCCCTTCCATTTCCGAATGTCCTGTTCCCCTAACTCTTGCCCTTCTGATGATGACTCTTCCACTTCTTCACCTCCTCCCTGCCAGCCAGGCAGGGGTCTAGCACCATCGGTGGCAGCCCCCTTCTCTCCACTCCCTCTTTACCACCCAGTCCACACCCCCTTACTACTCTCTTCTCCCCACGGCAGCAATCTGGGCCGCTCTCTTGCTCTTGCCTGGTTCTAGGACAGCCCGCTCACTCCTTCCTGCACAGCCTGGCCTCGCCTTCCTTTCCCAGACCCAGTTCACCCTGTGCCCTCTTCATGCATACTGCACTCAGAGGTCTTCTCTGAATGATAGACTCGAGGAGGCAGCTCCTCAGGCGGAATCACAACAGACAAAGGCCAGTCTTGGAGTCACAAAGACCTGAGTCTGAATTCAGCCTCAGTTAATTATTGGCTGTGTGACCCAGGGCAAGTCACTTAACCTATCCAGGCCTCAGTTTCCTTATCTGAAAAATGGGGATAATAACACCACCACCCAACTCCCAGGGCTGTTAAGTGCTTGGCGCTCAAAGCGATACAGAAATGCTAGCTATCATCATCAGCTTTACTAATTATTAGGACCGCTCCCTTCCTGCGAGGCCATCTCCCCTGCTTGGGGTCTTCCCAGATCTTTCCTGATCCCTCTACTGTCCCCAGACCATTCTGTGGCTGCCCCGTGACACCTCTGACCACCTCCCCAACTCGTTCTTCCTCTCCCCCAGTAGCACTGACACCGGGTGGTTTTCTGGTTATTCTCAGTGCCTCGGGCAACACTTCGAAGTGTCTGTGGTTCATACAGATTTGTCTTATTTCACTTTCTTAATTTTATCTTTAAGCAAAGTGAGGTTTCCCATCTGTCTCAGTGTGTGCAGGAGGGGTGCAGGGAGATGAGTTAAGTTTCACCCATTTCTCCAGCAAAAGGAAGGAGGCATCCCTCTCCTTGGTTGTTTCTCTCAAGCTCTGTCTAGGGCTGTCGGCCCCTCTAGCTACCAAACACGAGAAGGCACGTGAAGACAACCCTTGTGGCTTTCTCCCAGCTCTAACCCCCTGGCTCTGCCACGGGCACATGTGCCCTTGTTGGAAGCAGTCATCCAAGCGGCCCGGACCAGGTCAGCCTCATCTCATGTTAACACAGCTTACTGTGGACTTTCCTCCTGACAAGGAAGTCAGAATTAATGAGATCACCATGAAATAACAGAAATGATCACAGATATATAAAGGCAACTTCTTTTGGCTCTCCGCTCTCACAGCTGTATGCTATGTTTACACCACTCTTTTAAGGAAGAAAAGTGAGTTGTAATTTAAGTTTCAAGGCAAAGCCCGTAAAAATTAATAAGAAACAGTTCCATATTGTGATCAAAATTTGGCTGATTAGATAAAACTATGTGAAAGAATGTGACACATTTAATATCTGTCAAGTAGCATCTTATGGATAAAAATCCTTAGCTGAATTCAAACAGAAAAGAACAAAGAAAGGGCTCCATGGGCGTTTGGGGGCAATCATCTTATCTGCTTTTTAACATAAGGCACATTTTGGAAAAACGTATGGATGTAGTCTGTTCTTTCAGCAAGCAAGAATGACTGGTTTTGAGTTTAGTAGAATTTGGCTGTGTTCTGGACTGCCCACCAAAATCTCTCCCCTCTTCTTACTGCATATTTTGTGGTCAGAGTCAGTTTCACAGCAAACAACCAAAAGAAATATGAAATTTAAAGTTTTGAGTCATGGTTGAAAAAAAATCAGTCAAAATGTGGTATCTTACAGCATAAGAACACAGAAGATGAAGAACTGTGGTTAGTTGAAAGGGATTAATTGTATTAAATTTAATATGAAGCCCTCCACATAACAACAGAAGCCAGATGAAGAATTTAGCCCAAGTGAGCCAGCCCAAGCAAAAGGTAAGCACGTGCAGAGAAAGCGCGACCCTGAGCGCAGGCTCATTCACGCTCGCTCGGGCTTGCGAGGGCCAGCTTCACCATTTTCCCAAAAGAAAACCAAGCTGCTGTGCGCCACTCTTCACCATCAATGCTGCTGGCAGGTGGGACACTGGAGTGACGTGGAATAAGGGAAAAAGTCTATTTAAAAAATCACAAATTTAATTCATGGTATGAATGTTATGCAGCGAGTTACTTAAACTTTCATACCTGACACTTTGAAACATCCAGATGAAAGTTTAAATGACTTTAATGAGAAATCGAAATGTTAGAAGTTTACAGCTGAAGAAGAAGAAAAGGATGGGGGCGAGAAGAGGCCAGAGAAGACGGACAGGCAGTTCTCTATCAATGGCAAGCGTATTTCCCCCCCACCCCTATCATGCATATTCTGGGTGCTTGTGTTAGGACACAGGGACTGTGTACAAACTGGTTACAGTCAACAAAAGAAGACTAGGATTGAAATGTCGTTAATTCAGTTAAACTGCTCACAGTTTTACAAGTTACAACATGCAATTCATTCTCATTGAGACATACTTACTGTAGACTCTATTGCTAAACGATCACTTACGGAGATGGGCAAACACAAACCAAAGCACTCCCTCTTTTCCAAGCCCTAAGCACTGTCTGCAGGGCCCCCTCCTCCTTCTGACTCGACTCGAGACTTTCTGGACTCGCACAAGGGCACATCTGCTCTGACCTCATGCAGCAGAGATGAGGCACGTTTGTGTTAGCAGATTTTTATGGCTACAGGGAGGATTCAAAGTGAGGGCCTCAGGTAGGTCTGGAAAAAATGTTGCTAAAGGAAGCTCTTATAGAGAAGGGGTTTAAGTCACGAGTACCTTTTTCTTGGGGGGTGGGAGGGGGGAGGAGAGACAATAAGATCTTAGATTTCTGAGCTGGAGGAACCTTGGAGATCATCAAGTTCATGGCAGAACTGGGGTTTGAATATCGGTCTTCCAACTCCCAGCAGCCCCTGCTGCCTTACCCTAAAATGTATCCAGCCCTAGCATGATTCCCTTCCTTCTTAGCTTCTCTGAATGGAGAATGGCCTTTGGCTAACACAGGCGAGTGAAGTGTAGAAATAATCCACCTGCTTTCTGTAAAGGTCTCAGTCCAAGTCTCCACCAGTGTTAACCAAATGGTTGGCTTTTGGGGAGCCTGAAAAGTGCATCAGTCCTCGCCGACCCCTACACTCTGCCCCGATCCCAATCACATTTCTACGACAACCTTTACCTGTGCGTGTCACTGCAGCAGGCAGAAAAGGATGAGGGCTGTGGGTTCTAATTATGACCAAGGCAGGAGGACCTCAGTGATCCTCTTTGGATATTTATCACACCCCAATCATACGTAGCTCAGAGCATCTGAGAAGTGCAGACTTCCAAAACAAGACTGAAAAAATCTGCAAACATGTTTGAACAACAGGGACAAAACACCTGAAGTGATCTTAGAAAAAAATGGGGGGGGGGGGGGAAGGAAACAAGGAAGGGGAAGTAACCAGGAGAGTAGTCCTCTGAATTTACACAGAATGATCCATCACTTTATGGCCTTAGGGTGTGAGGTTTTTTGACCCTCTCAAAAGGTTCACATGTAATCATGGACCATTAGTAGTGATGACGATGCCAAAGAATTCTGGTCCAAGTGATTGTTACCAGATGGCAGTTTGAGACAGGATGACATCTGTCTCATTCAGAAAAAAGACCTTTTACCGAAAGGATGCTGCTAAGAATATTTTCAGTCAACATAATTTTGGGGAAGCCATACTTGTTTCTAAAAGACAGAAGATAATCATGAGTCTTTTGACAAAAAGATCACCCTTAATTTAACAATCCAGCTCAACCAAGATAATATAAAGTAATTATTGTCCAAATGTATTGTCACTGCAATTTTCAAAATATCAAGATTTCACACTTACCCCTTTATCTCCTCTTGTTTTAGAATTGAATTTCACTGTTTTTAACCGGGCTCGTTCTTTCTTCTCAACTCTGCGGAAAAAGCACCCAAAAATGATTCCATCTTCCACCTATCTCCAGAGTCATGTTTAAGATCAATCACCAGATCAGATACCCCGACAGAGCAGCATTTTCCTAACAACGTACTTCCAAATAGTAACAATAACATTTGAACCTCCAAGCAAAATAATTTAAATTACTGAAAAGTGCTGTTCTTTTCTTTAATAAGTCCACGGTGCTTTAAGAAGCTCCTCAAACAAAACCATCCAAAAACGATTTCAAAATCCAGTGTATTTTACATATATATTCTGTCCATCTCAAGTATCTTATCTGGGTGGCCTTGGGGTCACACTAAGAGCCTACAGTCTACACCATCTTATACAAAGTATGGAACAGACAGAGCCCAGATGGCAGAGAAAAGGCAGGGACTTGTCTGAACTCTTCCCAAAACCCCTCCAAACATCTTTAAATAATGCCTTAAAACAAATTCTGGAGTGGCAGAACCCCCCAAAAGAAGGGATGAAATAATTTTCCAGCCAAATACAACTTAGAAGGTTGGCAGGAACAGTCTGATGCATTGAGGTAAGAGTGGAACGTTGTTTAGTGCAGGCCTCATCCACGCAGACCTGGCTCCAGAGCAGACCAGGCCCCAGCAAACCAGGAGCATCCTGGGAGCCACTGAGTTGGTAACGGCTGCTTCCACAGCCCAGATGGCAAGGGGTCAAACAACTGCTCACAAGATTACGAGCACTGAGGCAGGCCTCTGTTGCTTTGCCCATACTCAGATCCAGGTCGCAGTCCTGGGTGGCAGTCCCAGGGCGAGGAGGAGCACCGGCACACCAGAGCTTGTGGCCACAGGGGACCGGGGACCCTCCTCACAGTTCCAGGGCTTTCGTGATATTCATATACAGCATCCCTTCATATTCAACTCACACTTTGAGAAAAACTGAGTATAATCCATGAAGGGAAAAATGTATATTCAATGAGATAGAGGGATTTCAAGTATTCCCGGTGAAAAAACCAGAGCTGAATAGAAAATTTGACTTTCAAATATAAAACTTAAGAGAAGCATAAAAAGGTAAACAGGAAAGGGCAATCATAAGAGACTTAATAAGGTTAAACTGTTTACATTCCTACATGGGAAGAGGATCCTTGTAACTCCTAAGACCTTTCTCATTATTAGGACAGAGAGAAAGAGATTATATAGGCAAAGAAGAGAAGGAGGAAGAAGGCCCACATGGCTCACAGCCCACATGTTCTGAGTGACCTAGGGGGCTGAGAAAGATCAGAACGGCTGCTGCAGTCAGAGTCGGCAGCCACTGCCCTGGGGCTGGCCCACGCTTCTCGCTCACCGTGAGATACTTCTAGGGACCTGTAAGTTTTCAGTTTTTCCGAGGTGCTATGATCTAAGGAGAGGTGTTTACTCCTCTCCTGGCCTGTGCTCTGGTCTGTGAGTGACCACAAGCACTCCCCTCTGCCCTGGGACTGGGCCTTCTCTCCACCATGCGCTCTCTCCAACAGCCATTGTGATCCTGGAACACAATAGGCATTTAAACGTCTACTGACTGACTGATTCAGAATCTGGATCACTGAAGGGAATACCCATTATCAACGGCAGCATGTTTGCAATGATTATTGAAGTATGCAGATGACACCAATAAATGAAGGTATGTGGATATATGCATGCATGTATATGAATGCACACGTGTGTGCGTAAGCTCCTGGAGGGCAGGGCTCCAACCAGGCCTTCACTGACCTTGGCTAACTGTGCCAAGCTACAGCTTAAGAAGGGTTCACGTGCTAAGTCTCATCCCAGGTGAGGGAGCTCTGCACTTCTTCCCTCATACCCCCACGACTCTATCAGCTGTGACATTCAAAGCCACCCCTGCCGGTGCTGCCAAAATCCCCCCCAAGACTGCTTACTGCCATGTCACATATAAAGATATACTTGCTTCTTAGGAAATCACCAATTCAAAGGGAAAATGAAAGTTGGGCTAAAGATCTTTACTTGCTCATGGCACCAGACTTTAAAATATGGATGCAGAAAAGATTCAACAGAAGAAAGATTACCTTCGTTTACTGGGAATCACGCCGACTTCATCACTCTCCCCATCCGGCGTCACTTGCCTGGCTTGCCACCATTCGTCATCAGAAGCGTTGATAACATGAAGGATATCTCCAAACTTGAAATTCAATCCTTGACTTGGAAGGCCACTGTCTTTAGTCTTGTCATAATCAAAAAGGGCTCTAAGATTCAGAAGAACAATTACATGCTGAGTCAAGCAGGAAGGGCAGCTAACACCCGGGTGTCATGTCAATGCTGTCCCTAACACAGAAGTGCTGTTGTATCAGAAAGTGTGGTGGCCAACACCCCTCGGACTGCTGCCCCGTTTTCTCGAGGGTCTGGTCTCGAGTTCTGCAGCCTTTCCTATGTGTCTAAGGACAGACTCATGCTTTTTAGAATTCTGTAATGATCGATGCTATCTTTCTTTTCTCACTCTGGGGAATGTAAATAGCTACAGAATAATGGACAGACAGATAGAAAGACAGAGACCTATATGCACACAGGCATTTATATGCAGATACATTAAGAAATAGGTCTTCTTTCTTTGCTAACACTTTTGGGCACTAAGAATTTAATCCTCCCTCCCCCAGAGAATCTGAGTTAGCAATTCCCAAGTCAAATCCCAAGAGAAAAACCACAAGCATGATTACAAGGTCCTGATGCCTCACCGGAGAGGATAAACCGAGGTCATTTTCCTAACACTCGGATTGTTTGTCCCTTGGTTTCTGCTTCACATTCCTACGTGGGAAGAGGATCCTTGTAACTCCTGCAGACCAGCTGAGGACTCCCCACTCTCTCTTCCCAATAACGACCTCATGGTTCAGACAAGCCCCTTCGCACCTGGCCTCCCCACTCCCTCTTTCAGAGCCCACCTTGAACAGAGCAGGCCAGTTCCCTCCACTGCTCCCTGTGCTCAAAGGTTGCATCAGGCAGAGAGAGGTAAAGAGAGGTAAAAAGTGGGCAGCTTCTGGCCAGCCGTCCTCAGAGCTGCCGCACCTACGGCCCAAACGAGGGGCAGACCTGGAGCCTGTCTCCAGCCGGTTGGCCACCGAAGTCCGGGGTGGTCCTAATGTGGCCGCAGGGTTAGCATGGAATCGAGGCGTTTGCCAAGGCATGAAAGGACTGAAAGGGGCAGGAGGAACACAGAAAGCTTTCGTTCCAATGGTGGCAGGGGCTGGCCCTGAGGGAGGCGGCTTGAGAAAAGCTGACTGACCAACTCTGCTCACCTAGAGCTCTGCCCAGCAGAACACTAGCAAAGGAGCACACGTTTCTGGGGAACGTGAAGGACAGCAACACTACTTCTATGGAGCCGAAGGCCGCCCACGGCACTCACTCCCCCAACACTCATTTGTGCAGTGATGGGCAATCTGGCCTAATGGGGCCAGCCATTTACCCTCCCTTCACCACCCTGAGCCTCAGTCTCCTCTTCTGTGTAGAGGTGGTCCTCTCAGCACCAGCCCCAAAGGGTGGCGGTGAGGCTCCAGAGAGAATGACTGTAAAACGCTCCAGAAAATGCTAGAGACTATCACTGCTGCCTGCTCACAACCACCTCGGGAGAGAAAGGCCACAGGTCCTGGAAACCCCCTCTGACAGGAGAAACTGAGGCTTGGAGAAGTTCAATGACTAACTGATGTGGCAGGATTCGAACCCAGGTCTTCCTGACTCTCTCCCCACTAACAGAATTTAATTTTTCCTCTATAAGCTTGCAAATGGCACCGGCCTGACTGCAAGGCAACCAGAAGGCAGGGACCGACTGGGCCCCCTTACTCCTCTCTGGGGTGGCGTCACGTCACTCTCTCTAATCTTTCCGTCCTGAAAAGCCTTTGCGGACCCTGCTACCTTCTCCAGCTCTTGGCCGACATCACCCCGGGGAAGCCCTGCTGGTGCCCCGGCTGCCTCCACAACAGCTCTGAGGGGCCTTCCTCAATCTCTTCCTAACTGAGGCTCTTGACTGGAGAAGCATCTCTCCGTGCTCCCCGTCTGGGAGTCTCACAGTCATCCTAGGCTGTCTCCAGAGCTCCAGACTTCCATTACAAATGGCCTCCAGAGCCAGCCCAAACCCAACAGATCTCAAACAGAACAACCCCCCTTCACCACAAATGCACTCCTCTTCCTGGGTTGCTGAGATCTAGACCGAGACGTCCCAACAGCTCGGGTGTGTCCCCTGTGCCAAACAGCACTGTTGGCATCACCCACCCCGACCCTGGCTGGCCGCAGGAAGCCATCCTCACGCAGCCACCAAAGTGTAGGTGTGCTCACCTTTCTTCTCTGGCCAACAAATCCTGCCCCACGAGGCCCATTCCCATCCCCCAGCTCCAAATACGCACCCGGCCGGACCCTGGAAGAGCTCACTAGACACTGCCATGTGGCACTGCCTCCCTGTGAGATTCAACCTCGAGGGCAGGCACCGTCTCGCTCCTGTCTTGTCTGCACACAGGACTCCCCGAATCAATGCCAGTCGTCACAATGAACAGCCCCCGGGGGCTCTGCCCAGCCTGGGGAGCAGCTGAGGACCCCCAACAGAAGCCCCTCTGCTAAGCATTTAAAGCCCGGCCTCATCCAGGATGCCTCCCCACACGGCAGCGGCAGGCACACATTACGTTCTAAGTCATCCCTGGCACCTAGCCCCCAAAGAAGTTTCCAGTCCACAGTCATCAGGCCACTGACTGAGCACAACTGGCCATCTGTCTGTGTACAATCACGAGACACGGCCGAGGCTGGGCTACCTACACCACAGATCATCCCAGGGAATCAACAAGAAGGAGGAGCACCTGCTTCATGTAGCAGGTGACTTCCTTTCTCCAGAATCCTCGCCCTCAAAAAGTCAGGACCCCAGCGAGTGTCGCCAGGCACAGAACAAGGCGTTGAAGAGGGGACTCCCACAGAAATGAGGAGTGACTGGACACTTGCCTGACGTAGAGGGATCGCTTCTGGCTGGTTCTCAGGGACCCTGACCCAGAGCTGAGGCTGCAGTTCATCATCTGCTCCCGTAAGTCATGGATCTTTGCTTCAAAACGACTATACTCTGTTGGTAGGGAAGAGAAAAGGGTGTTTTCTGACAGTAACTTTCTAAGAGTTCGACAAATACAAAACGCCTAAGTACTATAATCATCTGTCAGGTCAATGGCCAAGCAAAGGAAAAAAAATCCAAAATGCTTACACTGCCACCCGCAAGGAGCTTCTGTTCTCTCGGGGAAAATCCCACGTAGGGCCAGACAGCCAGAGCCCACACCTTCACTGAGGGGCATCAGGAGTGGCCGCAAGCCTGCTGACGAGGGATGTGCCTAGACCGGACCTTGGATGACAAGCCAAGGCGCGTGGGGGTTGGGTTACTAACAGATGCCAGGGCTCGTGTCTCTCTGACACAGGTTTTCAGACCCAGGCCCCCTCTATGCTGTAATGAGGCCAAATCCAAGGCATCATTTTGTAAATTCGCGAAAGAGGGGTTGAACTGAGCTCTTCATCAAATTCATCCAGAATCAATCTGCCCCGGACAATCTTTTCAAATATTAACTATTACTCCAAGCCTGTTTCTTCGTTTTTGTTTTTTTTTGGGGCAATTGGGGTTAAGTGACTTGCCCAGGGTCACACAGCTAGTAAGTGTCAAATGTTCAGTCTGAGGCTGGATTTGAACTCAGGTCCTCCTGACTTCAGGGCTGGTGCTCTATCCACTACGCCACCTAGCTGCCCCTCCAAGGCTGTTTCTTAACCACTTAATGTGCACACTCTGACTTTGCTGAACAGTGCTATTCTCGAGCTCTGTGACCCGGCCAAACCGGCCCTCCTACACACCCGGAGCCCTCCATCCCCTGCCTCCCGGCCTTGGCCCCGGCTGTCTCCCACGCCTGGAACACTCACACCCCTGCTAACAACTCATCTCCATGGTGGTGTTGGTGGGGCAGGAGTATAGCCCCAGGCGAAAATCTAATTGGGAAGTGTTCAACAAAACAAACAAACACGCAATGCAGATAATGTTCATTTTTGGTTTCCTGTCTTGGTTTGAGTCTGAAGCCACTTTCTACAGAAAGCCTTCCTCCTGCTCACACTTTCCAATCTCTCCCTGGCTCTATGCAGCCTGACTCTGGCTAGGAGACTGTGAGATCCTTGAGGGAAGGGGTGTCTCCTCAGTGCTTCGCACAGTGCCTGGCATGCCACAGGCATGAAATAAACATGCACCGACTTGTGCATACAGACAGATCTCCCTTCATGTAAGTGGACCGTTCCTCAGACCTCTACATAAAACAGTTTTTACATCATGTGAATTTGCCCGCGGACATGGAGACCAAGGGAGGCAGGTCATTTGCCTATGAACACATGTGGGGCTGGGGACAGAGAAGCAAGACCAGCAGGAGGAATGCACAGGCTGGAGCCATCCTTGTGGGGGCCAGGGACAGACACGAGGACAGAAGGAAGCCGGGACGCAGGAGCCAGACACACAAGTGGGCAGAGCAGAGCTCTTCTCTCGTGGTGCTGGAGTTTAAGCCAAGCCCCAGATCTGGCAGCTTCTTCTGCTCCCACTTAGAGAGTCGCTGCTTTATCGTGCGTGTGGGGAGGAGGGGATTCGGGGGTGGGAGGCCACCAAGTGCAGAGCCGAGGGGCAGAAGTGAGAGAGAGAGCACAATACTGCACAGTAAAGTCAACACAGGTGCTTTCTTTTTTTTTTTGATTTTTGGTGAGGCAATTGCGGTTAAGTGACTTGCCCAGGGTCACACAGCTAGTTAAGTGTCAAGTGTCTGAGGCCAGATTTGAACTCGTGTCCTCCTGACTCCAGGGCTGGAGCTCTATGCACTGCGCCACCTAGCTGTCCCTACACTGGTGCTTTCTCTGGGGACACTCCTATCAGATGCCTCTAAAGGGCCAGAAGCTGTTTCCATTCCCGTCCTTGTGGTCTTTAGAGATGGGGCCAGGTGCTGGCTACCTGTCCAGAAGGGCCTCCTGGACCCAGAAAAGCAAAAACTCACTGCTACGCCGACAAGTCTGAGGTGAGCTTCCATGAGCATTGGGTGCACTGATCAGTAGCGCTACTTCTGAAAAACCCCAGTTTGCTAGGAGGTTTGTGGCCACTCAGATAAAGGAAGCAAGGGCAGGCAAGGCCCCCAACGCTACAAAGAACAGGCCAAGGGGAACACGTTTTGGAGAGTCCAATAAAGTCAATCCCCCTGGGGAGGAGGGCCGCCATGGTCAAGACCCTCTGATGTCTCTGCCTTCTGGGTGATCACATTCACCAGCATCTTGAAGAGGTTTTCCCGATCCTCTCCTTTTTTTGCCTCTTCAGGATTTTGGAGGTTACATCCATGACACCTGACTGCTTGGAAATACTACTGCAAGTTCCAGGGTTTTCCTTCTTTTTCAGCTCTGGCTCCTGATTTATCTATAATTTATTAAAACACATCTGAGAAATACATATTAAAGGAAGAGGAAACTCCAAACGCTAAAAGAGTTTCATTCCATATTGATTGTAAAAGACATCCAGGCCCATCTAGGACAATTTTGGAATTTTCTGGCGGACAGGTCTGCTGTCCAGACTAAAATATCAATGAGGACCATGCTCACACATAAACAGAGAGCACAGAAAGGAACAAAGACATGGTTCTGAGAGTTACAGGCTCTTACAAGACAGGAAAAGGGACCTCTGTCCTGGACATTTTTACTTCAGAAAGGGTATTTTTGGCAAAAATGTGCTTTTACTACTAGCTGTTACTCTAATGATTAAAAGGTTTATCCACAATTAATCTGGGAAGTTCTGAGAATATAGCTCTCTCACTCTCCAGCCAGACTGGCATTTAAGAAGCAGAGATGTCATTATGTTTTTGTTATTGTTCAGCTGCTCATGACCCCATGGATCACAGTGCACGGGGCCCTGCTATCCTCCGCTACCTTTGGAAGTCTGTCCAAGTTCATGTTCATTGTTTCCACGACACCATCTCTCCATCTCATCCTCTGCCATCCCCTTCTCCTTTTGCGTTCAATCGTTCCCAACGTCACGGTCTTTTCCAATGAGCTCCATGTTCTCATAAAGTGGCCAAAATATTTAAATATTGGTTTTGTCTGTCCAGCAACTTTAAAATTTTATTTGATCAAAACAATCCATTTAATCCTCTCTGTCCCTTGTTTGGTCAAAAACTTTTCCTCCAACTACAGATCTGAAAGTTCATCTAAGTTGCTTATGATGCCTCTTTTTACATCATGGAGCAACGGGCAGTTTATCATAGCATGGTTAGGGTTGCTGTAGGAGAAATTAATCTATAATCAGTTTCTGCCAGAACGCTTTGGAGACTTCTGGAAGGTTTGGTCAAACAGCAAGTCCGGACTCCAGGAACGGAGGTCTTCAGGCTTGCTGGACGCCAGAGGCTTTGGTTCTACTGGCTGAGTTCGCCATCTTTGACCAGTACAAACTGTTCTGATGGTTACTGTGCGGTGGGAGAACTGGAGATCCGAGGCCCCTCTTTTTCTACTCCCCCCACGAATTCCCTTGACCTTTTTCTTCTTTCTCCAGATAAACTGCCATTTTTTTCTAGCTCCATAAAATAATCCTCTGATGGTACGAATGACAGTTACTGTCATTTTCACTATATTGTCTTGACCAACTTACTGCTTTAGTTATTTAGGTTTGTCTTTATTTCGGAAGAGTGTTCTATAGTTGTATTAAATTTATTCCTACATGTATGCTGGCAGGGAGACGCCTGAGTGTTTTATACATTCTGTTGTTATCTGGAATATCTGTAATGGAATTGCTCTTTCCAGTTCTTCCTACTGCATTTTGTTGGAATTGTACAGAGATGCTGATGATGTCTGTGGATAGACTGCATGTCCTGCAATTCTGCTTCATTTATTAATTTTTTCAACTAATTTTTATTTGTCTCTTTAGGGTTCTCTAAATAAATCATCATACCCACAAAAAGCGATTGTTTTGTTTTCACTTTGCCAATTCTTATTTCGTGGAAAAATGGAATAATTCCAGGTGGAGAAGGCACAGCTTTTTTACCTTCAGGTCGATACTGGGCCACAATTGTGACAGCCTGGCCAGCATTTTTCAGAGTCGCTGCCGCCTGTTCATGCGTGGCCGCTCTGAGATCAACACTATTTACCTGGAAATCAAACAAGAGATGTCATCTTGAGAGACAAGAATGATGACCATTGGCAATCAGAACAAGACACGCTTTTAACATAGACAAGTCATGAAAACTTGTTTCACTCATTATATCCACTGAAAACATTTCCTAACTTGAAAGTAAGCAACAATATATTGTTACTCTAAACCACCACTTACTGTTCAGCATGGGTCTCTAAGTTACTGCCTCTTATACCGTTCCTCCTCACCTCACCCACATCTCCCAGATTTCATGAAAGTTGGCCATCTTCTCCAGAAAAAACAGGAAAGCAACTGCCCCAAATCCTCTTAAGTTAGCACACCAATTATTCACTTATCCAAACAATAAGTTATCTTTAGCATCCTATCACTTCTCTGTCTCTCTGATTCCTTCTTCTTCCTCCCAGCTCCCAAGTAGGAGGAAGTTCAAGGGTCACAAACAACTGCCTTTCCTCTAGCAACGATTAGCTTGGTCAACAGGGATAACGTCACCATTGGGTGTGTTGGATTTCAAAGCCTCTGACCAAGTCTCCAACATGCCCTTGCACGAGATGGAAGATACTGCCCGTGTGTGGGGAGGTGTAAGAGAGGACCCAGGCATCTGGCTCTGGCTTTGTCGTCTTTGTTTTGATCAGGGATTGGGACAAAACCCCCACATGCAGGCCTGCTGGGCTGGCTGGACACTAGGTTTGGAGCAAGGGTGGGGTACCTGCAGACTCGAGGCTGTACGTGGACCTCTAGGTCCTCAAGTGCAGCCCTTTGACTGAACACAAACCTCACAGAACAAATTCCTTTAATAAAACTCCAAACTTTGGAGGGAAAACTAACCTAATGCAGTAGATGAGAATCGGGATCTAAAAAGACAGGTTAGAATGATGGGACCAAAGGAACAAGAGAAGCAGGGATTCCATTCAGCAACTACTCTCAGAAAAGAGATTCGTCAATCAGCAAGCATTTATTAAGTGCCACTTGTGTGCCAGGCACTGAAGATACAAAGAAATGGTTTGATGCTTGGCACCCAAGTCCAAGACTTTACATTTTTCCCTACTGAACTTCATCTTACTAGATTCAGCTCAGGGCAGCTAGGTGGTGCATGCTAGAAGGATAGAACTGCATGACACAACGCAAGGCCTAGAGTCACAGGAGGACCCGGGTTCAAATCTAGACACTTACTAATTGTGGGAGACAAGTCACTAAACTTCTATATGCCTCAGTTTCCTCATCTGTAAAATGAGATGGAGAGGGAAATGACAACTCACTCTTTGCCAAGAAAACTCTAAATGGGGTCACAAAGAGTCAGACACGACTAAAGCGACGTCCTAACAACAAAACAACAAGATCCACCTCGAGGCCTGATTTCGTTTTTGGACCCTCCCTCCCAGTCCGGTGTCACCGGCACGTCAGCTCGGCCTATATCCACGTCCCCCATAAAAACGTGAAACAGCAGAGGCCAAGCCTCCACTGAACCGTAACCCCTACTGTGCGTCTGGTTGCCTCGCTAATTCTGCCTCCGTCTGATTGGCTCGGCACCTAATCCTCCTGGCCTCGTCTCTTTCCATTTCTTTTGTCCCGGCTCCTCATCAGCGCTTCCAGCCTCTCTCTGCTGCTGCCCCTCAGCCACATCTCCTGCTCCAGAGTTTTTCCTCCCCAAATTTAACAGCCAATCGAGATCCGGGGGGCGACACACTGCTGACCCCAGTCGTTCTCCAGCTGCAATCTCTCAGCTCCTCCATTTTCTCTCATCTGCACCCACAACTGTTCTACTTCCACAACCGAAAACCCTGCACTTTCCCAGCGATCCCCTGCAGATTTATCCCTCCATCCTCCCGCCTCTCGGTGCTCTCCCAGGCACCACTGGGTGCCTGGATGAACTGGTCCACAGGGCATGGTGCTGACTGACTGACTTGCTGGAGAGTTCCCATCCCCCAGCCCACCCTCCTTCTTTGGTCTGAACTTGTGGTTTTCTCACCAGCACAGGGAATTCCTGTCATGGAAAGCTCCCCCACCAATGCTGATCTACAGTAACTCCTCTCACATCTAACACACAGTCTCTGAGCTTGCCTGGGTGCTTCCCCATCATGGCTATGGAAGGGGCAGGACTCAGCATCAGAACCGGTCCACCGGTCCATCCATCTGTGTAGCCCTTCCTTCTCCAGACTTCTTGGCTCATCTGTGTCCACATCCCACCCCCCTCTTCTTTTCCCCACTCTCTGAGGACCCTCACTTACAATCTTATCTGTTCCCATGGGTCAACTTCCAAGACTGTAGATGACTTCAAGCTCTATCTTTTTGGTCCTCCCTCTGAGCACCAGTCCTACAACACCAAAGGCCTAGTGGATATCTCCAACTCAACACGTCCGAAACAGACTTAGTCTTCTTTTAAATCTTAATGTCTATGTCAAAGGTACCATCATTCTTAGTCTCTTAGGTTTAGAACCTCAGCTTTATCCCAAACTCCTCCTCTTCACTTCATTTTCTACACTAGTGGTGTCAAATGTAAACCGAAATGGGGCCACAAAACCATACAAAAAACTTTGAACGATGAAGGTGGAAGCCAGAATGTAGAGAATGAGAGGTGAAGGGAGTAAGACTTTTTTAAGGACAGAGAAGGAAGAAAAGAAACAAGCATTTATTAAGAAACTACTAAATGCGCCAGACACCATGCCGAGCACTTTAAAAACATGAGCTCATTTGATGCTTATAACTACCATAGGAGATAGGTGTTACTATTGCTATTATATTATTATCCTTCCTGTTTTACAGTTATGGAAACAGAGGCAAACAGATATTAAGCGACTCTGTGAGAGGCACACAGCTATTAAATGTCTAAAAGACCGATCTGAACTCAGGTCTTCCCGTCTCCTGGCTCATCACTCAACCACTACAAAACCCAGCTCCCTAAGAGCCATGGGCATGAATGGCAGCAACACAGGAGAAAGTGAAGAGCAGAGAGACAGGGTGGGGGATGGTGGCAGGACCGGCCTTGTCCAGGAGATGGCTCCGCTGCAGGTGTGAAGAGGTCAGAGAGGAGAGGGCAGAGGCAGAGAGGTGACCTCCATGCTGCTCCTCGCCCACCCTGTGTCTCTGCCTCTTAACACACATCCTGGGCTTCCTTCCCAGCTCACTGTGGCGCTCGTAGGCCTCCCCCAACACACCGAGCTTGTGAAGTCAGACTGCCCAGTATCATAGTCTGTTTATTTTGCCTATTTGAAAATTCCCTTATATGCACACGTGTTATCTCCCCTAACAGAATTTAAGCACCTTGGGGGAAAGCAGTTTCTCATTTGTGCCTAGATCAGTGCCTCACACACATTCCTATACCTGCTGACTGAGGAATTCAGGAATCGAAGGCCAGCTCTTCATCCAAATGCCCTGACACTTAGTCATGAAAACCAAAATGATTAGAGGTCCCTTCTGGTACCCTGTGGTCTACCACCAGGATCCTTACTTCCTACCAAAACTGCCTTGTTTTTTCCAATGCTTACTTGCTTGCCAAGATTCACTGACCCTCTGAATATCTCCTTTTCACATTCTGAACATGTGCACATAAATTTTTAGAAGTAATCAAGCTGCTAAATATGGCCATAAGGGGGGCCCCACGGTGCATAGAGCACTGGACCTGGAGCCAGGGAGACTCCAGTTCAAATCCAGCCAATGCACATCCTAGCTGTGTGTCCCAGGACTTCACCTCTGTCTCTCTCAGTTTCTTCAACTGTAAAATGGGGATAGTAACGGCACTTACCTATCAGGGTTGTTGTGAGGATCAAATGAGATCATATCTGTAAAATGCTTAGCTCAGCGTCTGACCCCCACTCCCTCCAAAACCCCCCACAAAGCATCCTACATGAGTTACGGTTTTTAAAAAGACAGTACCAAAATGATTAGAAACCATTCTTTCCAATGAAGTGCTTAAGGAAGAAATTCTCAATATTAAACTTCCACTCATCCCATCTATGTCCTCCTGTGTTATACTAAAAACACTGACTATTCTTAACAACCAGAACTGGGAAAGCGATTTTAGTTTCTAAGTCCTACCGATATGATTCGGTCCCCTTTGCGGAGCTCTCCACTCAGATCAGCAGGCCCTCCAGCAAGAATAAAGGAGATAAATATTCCTTCTCCATCTTCCCCTCCTACAATGTTGAAACCAAGGCCTGTTGAGCCACGGTGAAGAACAACTTTCCTTGGTTCCCTAAAATAAAAGAGAGCAAACAATTGAGATACATCTTAAAGTAAGACATAACTGATTATTCTACCAACCAGAAATCTCTCTTAGTCAGCATTCCAACAACAGTCTAGTATCTTATGTTCACAAAGGATCACAGTAAGGGAATGCAAATTCTCGAAGTCTTATCTGAATCATGATTTCAAAGATGTCTACGAGACAAAACATGTCTCGTAGTAGCACTAAGTGGATCTTCCTGTACTGTGATTTTTAAAAAGTTTGACCCCTCTATGTGAGCTCTATGGCAGCTCGCTACAAAAAGAATACTCGATCAGAGTCAACAATCCTATTCAAATTCTTCTGATGCTGGTTCATTTACCAACACAGGCACTGAATGTGTTACAAGAGTAGCTGATTTTATTTGGCGTGAGGAGCAGGAGGACATGGGGACAACCAGCATTTATTAAGCGCCTACTAAAGTGCCAGGCACTTTACAAACGTGATTTTATTTTCACTTAAATGTATCGGACGTCCTCAGTGGTCATTTATGCACCACCCCGAAGCGTCTCTGGACACACATGGATGGTACAGCTCCTATTCTCCTCCTGCAGAATCTCAGCTCTGTCAAGGGCAGGGGCTCTCTCTTTGTCTCTATCTCTGGTGCCAAACACACAGTAGGCACATAAATAATACTTGTTGAAAGAATGAATCATACGGGACAAAAGAGAAAATTGATTGCATAAAACTTTTTGAGCATTTTTGCATGAACAAAACCAAAGCAGCTAGAATAAGAATGACCAACCAGCAAAAAAGAGTGCCATGCAAGATGCCCACGAAACTCAGGAAGACAGAGTTTTTTTGTTTTGTTTTGTTTTTTGGTGAGGCAATTGGGGTTAAGTGACTTGCCCAGGGTCACATAGCTAGTAAGTTATTATGTGTCTGAGGCTGGTTTTGAACTCAGGTCCTCCTGACTTCAGGGCTGGTGCTTTACCACTGCGCCACCTAGCTGCCCCTAGAAGACAGTTTTTCTCACTGTATACTCAGCATCTACACAACGTCTGGTACACAGCAGCTGTTCTACACAGGTGTGTGGAATAAATAAGAGAAAGGGAGAGAGAAATGAAACATCCCTGTTAAGGGAAAGGCCACTCACCCACAGAGAAAACCCAAATTATACGGTTTTAAGGGATAACTGATCCCTACATAAGGTGAGGTCACATTTATTTATATTTGCAATTCCGGCTATCCTTGCTTTTCTGAAACAGAGACCTCACCAACACACTCAGTTACAGGATTGATGACATTAGTAAAGTTCATTAAAATATTTTAAAACCTTATATAATGTTTGCCGATCTGCAAAGTAATTCATTTACAATTCTGCTGCAAGAAGGGATTTATAGTGTCTCTTCACAGTCTTTCACCATGCACAAAAACTAGCTCACAACAGTATTCTACATTTCTGTGGTTATTGTTCAGTTGTTTCAGGCATGCCTGGCTCTTCATAGCCTCATTTGGGGTTTCTGGCAAAGATATTGGAGTGGTTTGCCATTTCCTTCTCCAGCTCATCTGACAGATGAGGAAACTGAGGCAAACAGGGTGAAGTAACTTGCCTGGGGCCACATAGCCAGGAACTGTCTGAGCCAGTTTTGAACTCACGAAGATGAGGCTCCTTGACTCCAGGCCTGGTGCTCTGTGCACTACTGCGCTCTCTTAGCTGCCCCATCCTACACTTACCCTAAGATAAGCATCATGCGGCTGATAAACAAAGGCTTTCCCTGGTTTTACTAGCTCCAGCTCTCTGAATACACATCTCCCTCTCCTTCCCTTCACACCCCGCACCCCAACTCCTTCCTTGCAATCCCAAAATGCACACGCTCCCTCTGCTGCTACCTTGGCTGCTCACAGGGCTTGGACTCCTAATGCCATGAAGGACCACCATTTTGCCCTACAGTCATCCCCTGAGCTACGGACCTCTGGGCCTTGCCATCGACCCCATTGCAGAACTCCTCCAGATGGGCTGTTTCTCTCCATTAGAGATGAGCACTGGCCAACTTCTTCTAGCGGAATCCCCAGAGTAACTGAGAAGGTGCTTGGCACACAGTAGGTGTTTAACAAGTGTTTTCATGGATTTCTTTTCTACTTTGATGACAGGCAGTACAAAGGCTCAGTGAAGGCTGGAGTCAGGCAAGAGTAAAAATGCCTCTAAGAATAAACCAAAGCAGATCATTCCTACAAAGATAGTTGGAAATTAGTCTTACCTACATCATTTATCCAAAAAGGCACAAGAGGAGTCCCAACTACCTGCCTCGATGCACCTGCGTTTCTGCAAGCATGAGTAAATAGCCTCATGCCTAATTCCAAGCTTGAGTTCTGTCCAGCTTCTTGCCTCCTCAGCTTTCCAAGGTGAACCACGGTCAGTGTGGAAATTATACACAAATAGATGCAAACACACACGAAGTCTCATAATCCTTACAACTATTTTACAGATAAGTAAACTGAGGCTGAGAAGTTAAGAGACATGCTCAAGGTTCTACAGCTATTACGTGGGGCAGGATTTGAATTCAGGCATTCATTCCTGACTCCAGGTGCAGCGCTCTAAGCACTCGGTCACCCAGCTCCTTCCTAACCAAATCTGCCCTCCTCGCTAAGCTTCTGCCTTCCTTTTTGCTCTACTTTCCTTTGAACATGAAGGTATGTGTGCTGTGGTCTTAACAGCCTTCCATTCCTGAGCGGAAGACTACACGCAAAGAAAATGGAGTGGTGCTAACCTTAAGAGAAAAAACAAGTATGTCAGCAGTAGATCACAGTGGTAAGAGTACTGGGCTTTAATCAGGAGGGCTGAGGTTAGGATAGGACATTGCTGTGTGACCCTACAAAAGTCACCACTTTTCTGGCCTTTAGTTTTGGCCCTTCATCTGTAAAATGGAAACGTACAGAGAGAGTACCTCCACTAAAGGGTTGTTGGGAAGTTATATGCAAAGTGCTCTACAGTCTTAAAATGAAGACTCCCCCCAGATGAACCACATTTTGGGGAAGCAAACTCACTGATAAGGCTAGCCCCTGAGGTCAGAGGAAGGAATGAAGACGTGGAGCCCAAAACCTTGGAGCAGGGAGGCGAGGATGGGCAAGGAAAAGGAATGGGGGTGTTAGGAGAAAGAGGAGTGACGCTGATTCTGCTGGGTCCTGAGAACACACCTGGCAATGACAGATGGCAGCTGCCAAGAGTGCCTCACCATTCAGAGAGAGAGAGGCTGGATGACGGCCTGTCTTGGCCACTATTGAAGGGCTCCCATTCAGGCAGGTGTGGGTGGGACAGAAGCCCAGACCAACTGTTACTTCTCCAGAGATGAGAAGTCAGGCATTCTAAGCCGAAATCCAGAGTTTTCTCCTCACTCCCTTCCTACAGAGCACATCCCGACACTCATTCCTTGTTCATTCCAACAAGCTCGCATTAAGAAATACTGTTTGTTATCATCCACTTATTTCAAGGAAGCACCGAACTTTCTAGATCTTGACTCTCGAAACGCCTGAAGCCCCAGTAGAGGAGGCGCCTACCGCCAGCCATGCTTACTCGAGACTCGGTCCAGCCCGAGACTCCCTGGACCGTTCTGCCTTCCAATCTACCTTGTGCTTTTTAACCTCCTCTGATGAGGGGTCTTCCTCCATTAAACTGTAGCTTCCTGTGGACAGGAACATTCTTCATTTTATTCTTCTATTTCCAACACTTAGCACATTACAGCTACTTAAATGCTCCCTCTGTTCAAAAGAAGGCGGCCTGGCCACACAGCTACGGAGGCCTAAAAGCCGGACAGCCCACATGCTGCAAAAGTACACTTGCTACACAGAGAATGCAAGCTCCTTGAGGGCAGGAACTGTCTCATTTTCACTTTGTATCTCAGTGCCTAGCCCAGGATCAAGTAGGACTCGAGGAATGCCAGCCTGCCGATGGATTAGGTGCAGAGAACTTGGGAGAGGCTGTGAATCAGAATCCTCCAAAACATGGCTTGGCTGTGCTATGTCTGCATCACTGGCAGGAGCATCAGCACAGATGGCGTCCTCAAATAGAACCCTGTGGGCTCACACAGACTGAGCTTGCAGTCCATTAAATGTCTCTAGTCTCTCTAACATAGCTGTTGGCTGCAAATGTTGCTTATCGTGTACTTGATAAAGTTGATTTCTTTAAACCCAAATTTAAGATTTTATATTTATATCAGTTAAAATTTTTTTCTTCTGAAAATTTATTTTTTTTCAAATTACATATAAAAACAATTTTTAACTTTCATTTAAAAAAAAATTTTGAGTTCCAAATTCTCTCCCTTCCTTCCCCCTCTCCTCCTTCCTGAGATTTACAGATTATGTATGTACAGTTATATAAAACACACCACCATATTATGTTGTTCAGCTGTTTCAGTTGGGTCTGACTCTTTATGACCCCTGGAGTGGTCTGCCATTTCCTTCTCCAGCTCATTTTACAGATGAGGAAACTGAGGCAAACAGGGTTAAGTGACTTGCCCAGGATTACACAGCTACTAAGTGCCTGAGGCTACATTTGAACTCAGGGAGATGAGTCTTCGTGACTCTAGATCCTCCACTCTATCCACTGGACCATCTAGCTGCCCCATATTTCCATATTAACCAGGTTGCAAAAGAAAACAGACCAAAAAAAAGAGAAGAAAAATAGGCTTCAATCTGTGTTCAGACTCCATCAGATCTTTCTCTAAAGGTGGACAGCATTTTTCATCTCAAATAATTGGGAACCGTCTTGCATCTTGCTAAGAACAGCTAAGTCGTTCATTTCGGTTCATCAATGTACAACGTTGCTGTTACTATGTGCAATGTTCTCCTGGTTCTGTTCACTTCACTTTGCATCAGTCCATGTAAGCCTTCTCAGTTTTTTTCTGAAACTATCCCCTAAGTCATTTCTTTTTTTTTGTTTTTTTTTAAGATTTTTTTATGAATTTATTTTGATTTATCAATAATCACTTCCATATGCTTTTGAGTTTAAAATTTTTCTCCCCCTTCCTCCCCATCACCCTCCCCAAGACGGTGCATAATCTGATATAGGCCATACATTTACATTCATATTAAACATATATTCACATTAGTGATGTTGTAAGTAGAAATTAAAACCAACAGGAGGAACCATCAGAAAGAGGAAACAAAACTCAACAGAAGAGAAAAAAAGTAGCAATTCGGCTTCCATAGTTCTTTCTTTGGGTGTGCATAGCGTTTTCCATTACAAGGCCTCTGGAGATGTCTTAGATTCTTGTATTGCCAGGAAGGGTTAAGTTTATCAATATTAGTCATCACACAACATGGCTGTTATTGTGTACAACGTTCTCTTGGTTCTGCTCACTTCACTCAGCATCAGTCCATACAAGTCTTTCCAGGTTTTTCTGAAGTCTGCCTGCTCATCATTTCTTATAGCACAACAGTATTCCATCACATTCATATACCACAACTTGCTCAGCTATTCCCCAATTGATGGGCATCCTCTCAATTTCCCTAAGTCATTTCTTACAGCACGATAGGACTCCATCACAATCATATACTACAACTTGTTCAGTCATCCCCTCAATGTCCATTTCTTTGCTACCACAAAAAGAGCTGCTATAAATATTTTTGTACAGATTGTTCCTTTTCTCTTTTCTTTGATCACTCTGGGAAGCAGATCTAGGAGACTCACCTGAAAATTTCCTAAGTATGCTGCAAATGTTTTCTTCCAAGTAACTTAAAAACATGTGAGAGTCAAGCGCAGGTCCCCGTGCGAACTGCACTAGAGATCTTTTGAACTAGGTCTCACTGAACAGTGGGGTCTGCCCCTCAGGGAGCTCACAGTCTAACAGGGGAGATGACAATTAAACACAACACAAATTACAAACAAGCCACATACAGGATAAATGGGAGATAATGAGCAGAGGGAAGGCACTGGAATGAAGAGGGGGTGGGACCTAGGTTCCAATTCATTCATTCATTCATTTATTTATTTAATTTTTAGGCAACTGGGGTTAAGGGACTTGCCCAGCGTCACACAGCTAATAAGTGTCAAGTGTTTGGTCTGAGGCTGGATTTGAACTCAGGTCCTCCTCTTAGTTCCAATTTAAAGGAAGCCAGGGAAGAGGAAGGAGACTATTCTGGGCCTGGAGGACGGCCAGAGAGAATGCCTGGAGGTCAGAGCTGGAGGGCCCTGTTTGTGCAACTGCCAGGAGGCTGAGGTCACTGGAAAGAGAGGAGGGGGTGGATGACGAAGGACTGAAGGACAAAGTAAGCAGTTTGCATTTGCTCCTGGAGGTAGCAGGGAGCCACTGGGGTTTACTGAGCAGGGGCTGACATGGTCATGCCTACACTGCAGGGAAGTTGCTCTGGTGACTGAATGGAGGATGCGCTGGAGTGGGGGGAGACCTGAGGTAGACAGACCCCCAGCAGCTATCACAATAATCCAGGTGTGAGGTGAGGAAGGTCAGAGGAGAGAAGGCGGCGTATTTGAGAGAGGCTGCAGAGCTTAAATGGACAGGCCTTGTATCTGAAGGGTGAGAGAGTGAGAAGTCCAGGACGACTCCCAGGTTGGGAGCCTGTGCCCTCTAAGGTAAGGGGGAAGGTAGGAGGAGGGAGCCTTCAAGGGGAAAGAGAATGAATTCTGTTCAGGAAATAGTGAGTTTAAGATGTCTACAGGAGACCCAATCTGAGCTGTCTGAAAGACAGTGGGAGATGCAAGAATGGGGGTCAGCAGAGACTGGGGCAGGACAGGTAGGGAGCTGATGAGATCTCCAAGTGAAGCAGTCAGCGAACTAGCATTTATTAAATGCTTATTACATACCAGGCACAATACTAAGCTCTGATTTTTTAAAAAAGGAGGGGTACTCAAAAATCTAAGGCAAGGGAAAAGAAAAAAAGTATCCTGACTGACTACATTTTCCAGACAGACACCATAGGCAATGAATTAATTCCAATATTTAACATGTATGCGCCAAATGACATGGCACCTAAATTCTGAAAGGAAAAGCTGAGTCACAAGAAGAAATGAAGACTAAAACTATAACTGTAGGAAACTCAAGGTGCAGCTCTCAGATGCCACCCCCTCCCCCCCAAAAAAACCCACCTAACCAAAAACTAAACAAGAAACAAATATCCGAACTGAATTTTATGACATGACGCTGGTGATTATGAAACGACATCAGAAAGGTATATATATTCTCAGTTGTGCATGGCACCTTTACCAAAAGGGATGACCATCTATTAATTAGGGCATAAAGACTTCATGGACAAATGTAAAAAAGCAGAAATGTTAACATATGTAAGTACTTAATAAATGTTTATTGATTGATTGACTGAATGTATAAAACACCTAGGAGTGTTTACCTGTCAGCACACATACACAGGAAACTAATATGAAAACAGCTACAAAATACTCTTTACAGAAAGACAGACATAAAAAAACTGGAGAAATCTTGATCACAGGTAGGCCAAACTGATATTATAAAAAGGACAATACTGTCAACCTTCATTTATTTCTCCAATGCCCTACCAATTACACTACCAAAGGATGAATGATAACATTCGTCTGGAGGAAAAAAAGGAAGATCATTTTTCTAAAGTGGGCATTAAGGGGCCTTCTATCAGCAGCAGCAGATCTAAAACTCCATGAGAAAGCAGACTCATCCAAAGCACTTGGGACCAGTTAAAAGGGAGAGAAACTGCTGACTAGATCGATTCCATGACAATCAACTACAGCAAATCAGACCAATGGCTTAATGTTAGCTAAAATAAAGGTGCTGCAATGAGGCCAGAAACCACCAGCAGAAAGCTGGTCAAAGCCAGACCCTCCCTCCCCTCCCACCATCTGAGATAAGCTCCAAATGGATTCTTTCAACCTATCTCCAAAGCAAAGCAGAGGAGAAAGAAAGAAAATGCCATTCAGTTCTTTAGACAGGTGAGGGGTCAGGACGGGACAAGGGAGAGAAGGGTCACCAATGAGAAAAGAGACAGTGAGATTACATACAAATAAACACTACCTGCTCAAACAAAATAAATGCAGTTATAATTAGAAGGGACATAGGTAACATGGGAAAACTTTGACAGCAAGTTTCACTGATAAGGGTCTCATTTCCAAGATATAGAAGGAATTAATTGAAATCTGTAAGAATAGAGCCATTCTCCAATAGACAAGTGGTCAAAGGATAGGAACAGATAATTTTCCAGGTTATCACTAAGTCTTATGAAAAACTGCTCCAAATCACTAAGAATTAGAGAAATGCAAATTAAAGGAAATCTTAGGTTGCACCCTCATGGTTATCCACCAAGGAAAAAAAAAAGGGAGTGACAAATGCTGAAGGGGCCCTTGGCAAACTGGCTACTGCTGCGACACCCTAAAGGAGGCCATCCACCCAGTAAACAATACGAGCACTCAGACTCTCCTTGGCATGAACTCACAGACAGGAAAGTGCCCAGAACCAGGACCCCCATTCCAACAACGTGCAGTGCCACACCAGCCCTGACAAAGGTGGAGGGGGTGGAGCGGGTGGACTGAAGGAGACATTTCTGGATGTGGCCAACGTGGACTTTGTTTTTCCTGACTGAGGGCTATTTGTTATAAGGGTTTTGTTCCTTTTTCAATGGTGGGGCGAAGGGTGGAAGAGAGGGACAGAAAACCAAGTTTTAACGAAAAAAATAAAATTCAATTTAAAAAAGAACCACACGGCCTGGTTTTTCAATGCAATGTTAAAGAAAAGCTCTGCTAATTAACAAGCTGAACGAGGATTTCTTTTGTCATAAAACAAGCAGAAATGAAATCTGTCACGCAGCAATCCAAGGTTTGGCTATTTCTTAGGGATGAACCCTGATGGACCAGTCGGGCTGTAGGGAGATAGGAAATGCCAGCTCCTTACCTTGTAATTTCATCATCTCCAGGCACCCCTTTGGGAACTGGGGAGTATCTGGCTGGCGATGCTGGTGTTTGGCCCAAATAAGTAGGTGGACTAATGTGATTGTCCACAGGTTGAGAATAAGCTAGAAAAACCACAACAGAAAAAAAATAATTAAAATAAAGAACTAACTGCTGAGCAATACAGTAAGAAAGATGCTTATTTGGTTCATTAACTCAGTAAGAAAACTTCACTATGACCAACCTACTTACAATTCTGGGATGATTTCCTACGCTCAGACTTCAAGGATTCCTGGGGATCTTTCCGGTGACACCTGATGTAACCCCTACTCATCCTGCCCTGCCAATAACTTACTGCCTTTGTTCTGTGTGCTCAGCACAGTGCTTGACACGCAGGAAGCTGTTCTCACCCATTCACAGGGGCAAGACACGAGTGCAGGGGCCCGTGGGTGCAGCCCCAAGGCTCCATCGTGGGGAGCATGACGAAAGCCCTCTCAGCTGTGAGGGCCTCTGCACCCACAAGGCCATCCCACGACTCTACTGAGACCGCAACAAGACTATGAGATTGCACAGGAAGACCTAGATGAGGCCGAGCTCAGAAACTCAGGACAACCAAGCACTTCTACCATATCTGGCTACTTCCTAAGGACAATGGAATGAGAAGAAATTCAGGACTTGGATGATCCAGGGATAACAGAGAAGCTTCCCGCTGAAGAAGAGGGCCTGAGAGAGGGTGGCGGCCAGGGGAGCGAAAAGGAGGTAACCAAGAGGGGTACTTTATAGAAACAGAATCAACAAGACTTGGTAAATAATGGAATATAGAGGAGAAGGAAGGAAACAAGCATTGATTAAGTGCCTACTATGTACTGGGCGCTGGGCTAAGTACTTTCACAGACATTATCTCTTCTGATCCTCACAACAACCCTGCCAGGTAGGTGCTATTATTATCCTCATTTTCCAGATGAGGAAACTGAGGCAGACTGTGGTTATTACATAACTTGCCTAAGGTCACACAGCTAGCAAGTGTCTGAGGGTGGATTTGAACTCAGGTTTTCCACTACTCCGGCCTCAGTGCTCTATCCAAGGCTGTGAGACAAGGGGACTAGAAGGACGGTCAGGAGACACCACTCAGCACAGTGCCCATACACAGTAGGTGCCATATCAATGCTGCTTCTCCCCCCCCACCCAGAAAGCCATCCAATAGAACAAATCATTTCTTTGAAGATTAAAGAGGTTTAAAAAACCAGCATTGATAACGAGCAATAGATCAATACACAGAAGATGCCTGTGAGTCGTACACTTGTGGTCCTCACACCTCTGCCCAGCAGTGTGGAGGCTGCGGTCTCCGTATTCTGACGCTTATGTGGAGGGCTGACGTTATGGAAGTCATCATGTCTGCTATCTCCTTGGCTGCGCCAGCTCATGGAGCCCTGGTGGTGCTGCTTCACTGCTTGGCCATCACAGCAAGGAGGCCCCACAAGATCCCAAGTCTCCTTGGCGTGGAAGGAAGCTGGTCACTTTATCTGCGTAAGTGATTCACGGCTCTGTCAACGACTGTCCTGGTGGGCCTGTCGTCCTGTAGCGCCTCCAACACTATTCCCATTTTTGGTCTGTTTTTTTTTTGGTCATCTTAGCCAATTTTTAGGGGGTGGCAAAACCTTCCAATCGTCTGGCTCTGCGTTTCTCTTACCATCAGTGATTTAGAGCGTCCTTCCCGATGGTTGTCAGTTCGCAGTTCTCCTTTTGAGAACTGTCTGTTCACAAACCCTCCCTTCTTATCCTAGGGGTAAGCGATTTGGTTTGGGCAGAAGTTTTTCAGGTTCATGTAATCAAAGTTCTCATCTGTTCTGTCTTTTGTGACTGTTCCGGTCACTCGTGTGGTTTGGAATACGTCTGCCCACGGCAGTACGAGACACACGATTACTTTTATTTATTCTGGTCTTTCACGTAAGGGTCACATGTCCATTAAGACTGTAGAGTGGAATGTGCCAGAAGGTGCTGGGCTTGGCTTAACTTTGCCAGAATGCTTACACAGGGATGTCTTTCCACAGTCATTCATGTTTTCTGGTTGATGGAACATGGGGGCTTCCACTCTTTCTGATTCTCCTTTTTCTAGTCTGTTCCCAGGCTCAATCTCTCTAGATGTCTGCTGCTTGACAATATAATCTGAGGTCTGCAAGTTCTATTCTTCCTTCATCCACACAGTTCTTCATTGCTTTACTCTTGTATTTAATGAGAAAGCTAAGATCTCAAATGCATGAGGCTTTTGGTTTAAGATGGATGCATTTTATTTTATTTTTCAGAGGTCCCCCAGAGCCTATATTTTGTAGAGATTGCAGTATAAAAAAAGTGTTGTACTTTGTCAAAGGTTTATCTCTTTGGAGATAAGCACTTAGTTAGGGAGGTTTTTGTTTTTAAAATTGATAATTATATTGGTTGTTTTCCTAATGCTGAATCACCCATACATTCCTAGAACAAATCCAATTAGGTCCTGATAAATGATTTCCTGGTTGAATAGCTGTCATCTTTTAGACAGGATTTTATTTAAAATTTTATAAGCAATATTCATGAAGAAATTTATCGGTCTACAGTTCTGTGCTTTAACTTTTCCTAGTTTACATATTACAACTACATTTGTCTCAAAAAAGAAATCTGGTACAGTAAGTTTTCTCAATTTTTAAGAAAAATTTGTAAAGTATTGATATTAAAAGGTTTGGTAGAATTCTCTAGTCAATCAGGACCCAGGAGATGTTTTTCCTTTCGTGGTTCTGTTATGGTTAATTCTCTTTTACTGAGATTCGAATACTGAAGATTTCTATTTGGTCTTTTGTTTGGGTATTTATCATTGCTAAAATTATTTCTCTATTTCTATTGTGTTCTCGGTTTTGTTAGCAACAACTGTGCATAACAGCTTATGAATATTCTTTTTTTTTCTTCTGGTATCACTGTGTTTCTACCTCCTTTATTTCCTATTTTGCTGATTTGGTTTTGTGCCTCTTTTTAATCAGATTGGCTAATGTTTATCTAGGGGATTTTTGGGAAGAGGGAGGGATCCCGGTTTAATCTATTCCTACTCTAGTTTTTAATATTTCCTCTTTTGTGATTATTTTTATTTTCTGTTTTTCTATTTTTTAAAAAAACTATTCAATTCATTCATTTTCTCATTTTCTATTTTTAATTAATATTTTTTCAAATTATATGTAAAAACAATTTTCAAGACAGCAAACAATCTGACATAGATTACACACGTGCAGTCATGCAGAACACATTTCTATATTAGTCATGTTGTAAAAGAAAACAGATAATCTTTTTTGTGGTGGCAAAGAATTGGGAATTGAAGGGATGCCTGTTAACTGGGGAATGGCTGAACAAGCTGTGGTATGTGAATGTAATCGAACACTATGGTGCTATAAGAAATGATGAGCAAGAGGACTTCAGAAAAACCTGGAATGACTTGCATGGACTGATGCTGAGTGAAAAGAGCAGAACCAGGAGAACATTGTACACAGTAACAGCCATACTGTACAATGACTGACTTTGATAGATTTATCTCTTCCTAGCAATGCAAGGATCTAAGACATCTCCAAAGGTCTCATGTTGGAAAATGCTGTCCGCCTCCAGAGAAAGAACTATGGAGTCTGAATGCAGATCGAAGCAGACTGTTTTCTCTTCTTCTTTCTCGTGGTTTTTTCCTTTGGTTCTGATTTTTCTTTACAACATAACTAATGTGGAAATATGTTTACTATGATTGCACATGTATAGCCTATATTAGATTAGATTGCATGCCGTTGGGGAGGGGGGAATATTTAGAACTCAAAATCTTATAAAAGTGAATGCTGAAAACTAAAATTAAATAAATAAAGTGAAAGCTGGTAGATCCATAAAAAACAAAGAAAAAAAATCCCCCCCAATAAAGAAAGTTAAAAAACAATTCACTTCAATCTGCATTCAAACTCATCAGTTCTTTGTCTGGAGGTGGACAGCATTTTTTCATCATTATACCTAAGTCCTGGTTCTGCTCACTTCACTTTGCATCAGTTCATATAAGTCTTTCCAGGTTTTTCTGAGGGCATCCTACTTATCATTTCTTACAGAACAATAGTATTCCAAGGCAAAAAAAAAAAATTAAAAAAAAAAAAAAAAAAGGAAATAGGGGCAAGCTAGGTGACACTGTGGATAGAGCTCCAGCCTTGGAGTCAAGAGGATCTGAATTCAAATCCGGCCTCAGACGCTTGACACTTACAAGCTGTGTGATCCTGGGCAAGTCATTTAACCCCAACTGCCTCACCAAAAAAAAAACAAAAAAAAACCAAAAACCAAAAACCAAAAACAGTATTCTATCACAGTCATATACCACACAACTTGTTTAGCCACTCTTTCTCCAATTGATGAATATCCTCTCAATTTCCAATTCTTATTCCCTTTGGGCACAGTTCCAAATTGCTCTTCAGAATGGGTGGATCAATTCACCAACTCAATCAACAGTGTCCCAATTTTCCCATATCCCCTCCAATATCTGTCATTTTCCTTTTCTGTTACATTGGCCAATCTGACAGGTGCGAGGCGGTACCTTAAAATTGTTTTAATTTGCATTTCTATAATAATAATAACAATAGTGATTTAGAGCATTTTTTTCATACGATTATGGATAGGTTTGATTTCTTCACCCAGAAACTGCCTGTTCATATCCTTTGATCATTTATCAATTGGGGAATGACTTGTAGTCTTATACATCTGACTCAGTTTTCTATATATTTGAGAAGTTAGGCCTTTATCAGAGAAATCCCCAGTTTTCTGCTTTCCTTCTAATCTGAGCTACATCAGTTTTCTTTGTGCAAAAACTTTTTTAGCTTAATGTAATCCAAATTATCCATTTTACATTCCATAATGCTCTGTATCTTTCATTTGATCCTAAATTCTTCCCTTATCCATAGATCTGACAGATAAATTCCACGTTCCCCTAACTTGTTTATGGTATCGCCCTCTGTCTAAATCGTGTAACCCACTCTGCTATCCACTTGTTTATCTTTATCTCTCTCTCTCTCCCTCCTTTCACCACTCCCCCTCAAAAGCATTTTGCTTCCCACTACCACCTCCCCCAATCTGCCTCCCTTCTCTTCTCCCCTCCCCCTCTATTTCCCTGTAGGGTAAGACAGACTTCTATACCCAAATGAGTATGAATATTATTCCCTCTTTGAGCAAATTCCAAAGACAGTAAGGTTCAAGAACTGTCCACCACCCCCTGTATTTTTCCCTCCACTGCAAAAGCTCTTTTGTGCCTCTTTTATGTGAGATAATTTACCCTATTTTACCTCTCCCTTCTCCCAATGCATCTCTTTCTCACCCCCTAATTTTATTTTTTTTAGATATCACATCATAGTCAACTCACATGCCCTGTCCATGTAGACTCCTTCTAATAGTCCTAATAATTATAAAGCTCATTGGAGTTACAAGTATCATCTTCCCATGTAGGAACGTAAACAGTTTAGCCTTATTGAATCCCTTATGATTTCTCTTTCCTGTTTGTCTCTTCATGCTTTTCTTGAGTCGTGTATTTAAAGATCAAATTTTCTATTCAGCTCTGGTGTTTTCAGCAGGAAGACTGGAGAGTCCTCCATTTCATTAAACAGCCATTTCTTTCCCTGAAGGATTACACTAAATTTTGCTGGCTGTAATCTTAGATGCTCCTTTACCCTCTGGAACATCATAATCCAAGCCCTCCAATCCTTTAATGTAAAAGCTATTAAATATTGTGTTTTCTTGACTGTGGCTCCATGATATTTGAATTGTTTCTTTCTGGCTGCTTACAATATCTTCTCTTTGACCTGGGAACTCTGGAATTTGGATATAATATTCCTGGGAGTTTTCCTTTTGGGATCTCTTTCAGGAGGTGATTGGTGGACTCTTTCCGTTTCTATTTCACCCTCTGGCTCTAGGATATAAGGGCAGTTTTCCTTGATAATTTCTTGAAACATGCTGTCTAGGCTCTTATTTTGATCATGGCATTCGGGTAGTCTAATAATTCTTAACTTCTCTCTCTTCAATCTTCCAGGTCAGCTCGTTTTCCAATGAGATATTTCATATTTTCTTCTTTTTGTTTTCACTCTTTTGGTTTTGACTGTTTCTTCACTTCTCATAACGTCATTAGCTTCCACTTGTTCAATTCTAATTTTTAAGGAATTCTTTTCTTTAATGAGCTTTTGTACCTCTTTTTCCATTTGGCCAATTCTACTTTTTAAGGAATTCTTTTCTTCAGTAAATTTTTCTCCATCTTTTACCATCTGGCCTATTCTGTTTTTTAAGGTATTATTTTCTTCAGTATTATTTTTTTTTGTATCTCCTTTACCTAGCTGGTGACTCTTTTCATGATTTTTTTTTTTGCATCACTTTCATTTCTTTTCTCGATTCTTCCTCTACCTCTTGTATTAACGATTTTAAAAGTCATTTTGGAGCACTTCCAGGAATTCTTCTTGGGCCCAAGAACACTTCACATTTTTTCTTTGAGGCTGGCTTTCCACGTAGTTGTTTTGACACTGTTGTCTTCAGAGTTTATGTTTTGATCTTCCCTGTCACCATGGTAACTTTCTAGTGTTAGGTTTTCTTTGGGTCGTTTGCTCATTTTTCTAGCCCATTTCTTGACTTCTCACTTTCTGTTAAAATCGGGCTCTTGCTCCCAGGGTGAAGGGGGCACTGTCTCAAGCTTTAGGTTTTTCTTCCGCTGTTTTCAAAGCTAGTTCTGGGGGTCTGTCAGTTTTCAGTTCTTCCAAGGGGATAAGACCTGAGGCTTAATCTAAAGAGAGGCGAGGTCACCACTCTCCTGGCCTGTCGTTTGGTGTGTGAGTGATCACAAGCGCTCTCTTCCACCCTGGAACTGTGACAAGGGTCCTTGCAGTCATACGGTCTAGGGTGTTAGCGCTCCTCCTTGTCCTGGAACCATGACGCAGAACTTCATATGGGCAATGCAACAGAGCCCTGCTTCCAACGCCAGAAAAGGGTCCCCTCTAACTTCCTTCTGAACAGCTGTCTGACTGACCCCCTACATCTGTGGGCCGGGAGCTCCAGAAGCTGCCACTGCAGATTTAGTCACCCCAAGGTCTGCTGCTGGTTTGTCAGGGCATGGCCCGCAATGAACTGAGCTCCACTCTCACCCCAGTGAGACAGACCTTTCCTACCAACCTTTCAAGCTATCTTGGGCTGGAAAACTGTTTCACCCCATTCTTTTGTTGGTTCTGCCTCTTCAGAATTTGTTTTGAGGTCTTATTTTAATGATGTTTAAAGGGGCATTTGGGAAAGCTCAGGCAAGTCCCTGCCTTGGCTCTGCCACCTTTTTTCTATTTTGCTCATGTTTCCAGGGATATAATTTTTCCCCTTAAGACTACTACATCCCAGAGATTCTGGTACATTTTTTTCATTGTTATAATTTTCTTACAGTTATGAATTCTAAAATTTGTTCTTTAATCTATTTATTTTTTAGAATTTCATTGCCAAATCTCTATTTAGGTCTGTGTCTTTTGCTTGTGTCCCCTGAATGATTATTATTTTCATTCTGAACGGTCTGTAAATGATATGTTTACTATTTTTGCCTTTTTTCATTTGTTTGAAATATGTCTGTTGCCTAATACATGGTCATTCTTTCTTTAAAGAATGGAGAAATTCCTTAGCAGTCCTGTTTAGAAGATGACACAAGTATTTTAGATCTAGTTTCTCCAGCAATTTGTTCAGTTATATATTATTCCTTTTATCTGTCCAAAACAAAAGGGAGTAATGGAAATCTTCTCCCAATTTTATATTAATGTCTATGCCTTCTATTAGTTCAGTTAATTTTTCCTTTACTTAGATGCTAAGGCATTGAGATCATATAATTTTAATATTGATACAGGTTTGTTGTTTACGGTTCTTTTCAGTATAATGTAGCTGCCACATTTACCTCTTTCTATATTGTGAACTTTTGTTTTTGCTTTGTTTGATAGCATGACTGCAACTCCTGGTTTTTCTTTTTTAATTTTATTTATTTATTTATTTATTCATTCATTCATTTATTCATTTATTTTTTTGATGAGGCAATCGGGGTTAAGTGACTTGCCCAAGGTCACACAGCTACTCCGTGTTAAGTGTTTGGTCTGAGGCCAAATTTGAACTCAGGTCCTCCTGACTTCAGGGCCGGTGCTCTATCTACTGCGCCACCTAGCTGCCCCCAACTCCTGCTTTTTTGGATTCAATCAATCAGTCAATGAACAATTTTTTTCCTTTTTGTGAGGCAATCGTGGTTAAGTGAGTTGCTCAGGGTCATACAGCTAGTTAAGTGTCAAGTGTCTGAGTCTGGAATTGAACTCAGGTCCTCCTGAATCCAGGGCCAGTGCTCTATCCACTGTGCCACTTGGCTGCCCCCAATAAACATTTATTAAGTTCCTACTATGTGGCAGGCACTGTGCTTACACTGAGGATACAAAAGGGGCAAATGTTAGCCTCTGCCCTCAAGGAACTTACACTCTGTTTGGAGAGACAACACACAAGCAAATACAGACAAAGCAAGCTATAAACAGGATAGAGAGGAGATAAGCAACTGAGGGAAGGATCTGGATTTTTGTAAGCGTAGGGATAATCCAAAGAATTCTAGGTTATAACAAATGAAAATGGCAGCATCAATGCACTGGATGTGACTTTACCTAAGGAATATTTTAGGTGATGTCTAATATTCCTCGTGAACAAGAATAATGAAGAATCAAAACAAAATGTCTATTAACCCCATTATAAAATTTCCATGGAGTGACTAAACTTACAGTTGGTGACATCAGGAGGAACACAGCCATCGTTCATGTACATACTGGTGGGCTTTGCGACTCTCAGGTAAACAAAGTCAGATGTGTTCTTTAAGGCTGTCACGGCTTCTTCATGAGTCACTTCTTCTAAGCATACACTATTCACCTAAAACAAAACAGGAACAGGCAGGATTCGGATGTTGTAACATAGAAAACATTCTCATATGTCAGCAACATGAACTGAAACTTTCCAGCTGTATAGGTGTACATTTTGCTATAGCCACAGCTTTGGGAAAATGACCAGCTGACCCAGGAGCACCTTCGAAGCCCACATTTTATGCCTGGCACTTGGCTACACGGTGCACGTGCACCTAAGTGTGATGACTATAGAGAGAACAAATGAATACATGTGCAAAGGAGTTCAATCGGAGGCTGCCTGGACCAGAGAACCACAAGAGTCTGCTGTGAGGGGCTGCAGCCAGAGGCATCAGCAAAGGCTGCCCAGAAAACAAGGTGGTGATGCTGTGTCTCAGCGGATGAGGACACACTGAGCCGGGAGGTGTACAGCTGACGGGGGGCAGAGTCAAGAACGAGGAGCAGAGAGGAGCTTGTGTGCAGCTGGATCTCAGAGAGATGCAAAGCAATGTCCAATGAAGGACCAATGTGTATAGGGCTATCAAAGCGAAACAGGCGACTCCTATGTTATCCTGGGGGCAGGATGCAGCTACCAAAGTTCATGGCATGTGCTCTGGGCAGTGACTGCTTGGTGCTTGGGGAGAAAAAAAAGTAATAACAGCATTTCTATCGTACTTTACAATTTACAAAGCACATCACAAATATTGTCTCATCTGACCTTGCCAAAGAGCCTAGGAGGGAGGTGCTGTTACTATCCATAATTTATAGTGGAGAAAACTGAGGCAGACAGAGGTGAAGTGGTTTGCTCAAGGTCACAGAGCTACTAAGAATTTGAACTCAGGCCTTCTTGGCTCCATGCCCAGTGTTTACTCTACTGAGTCACCTAGCTGCCCAAGGAGTTCTGTGGTGGAGATGCTCATGGGACATCCAGTGTGAAATGAAGAGGTAATTGGTGAGGCTGACCTGGGGCTCAAGAGAAAGACCAGGAAAGGACAGAGAGATCTGGTAGAAACTGGCATGGAGGGAGTAATTAAACCCACGGAGGCAGATGAGGGGGGAAAAGAAAAAGACTGAAAAGGGCCCAAGAAGGAGGCTCGGCGAACCTCCAAAGTATTTCGTATTTCTCCTTTGTTTCTATGCAGGTGAACAGAAACAAGACCAAATTCATCCTTTCAAGGATTCTGTAGACATCCCTTAGAAAGAGATACTAGTTAAAGTGTTGTGGAATTATACACTCAACAATACCACATTCACAAATTGGCTTCCTCATCTACGAATTATATAAAAAATGTTTTTCCTCTCTGTTTTTAGTCATTTCACTAATCAAAAATAATTAGACTAGAAGATAATGAAGGCAAAGGAGATGAAAAGAGTTAAACATTTTACCCATTTCCAAAAGTTTATTAGTCAGGCAGTAAAAGAGCCCACTGTGACTATCTAAACTTAGGTTCGAAAGTCGGCGAGGCCTAAAAGAGAGTGAGTGAGCTGGCCTCAGAGTCAGGAAGACTTGGACTCCGGGTCTGCCCTGTGACCCTGGGCAAGTCACTGAAGCGCTGAGCACTTCAGGCAGTCTCCGAGACAGTAAGACACAGATCAAGTGCCAATCTATGCTGGGAGTGCAGGGTGCTTCCTCACTGGATGTATCCCATACCAGTGAAAAGCACAGGCCCAGTCCAAAAGACAGAATACGGCCTGGAGACTGTCCGCGCAGATGACTTCACCCACAAACTACCAGGTGCTGGGTGTTGGTCATGCTGTCTCTCCCTAAACCTTGCAAGGTGCTCACTGCACTCCAACCAAAACCCATGCCTTCCTCTGAGCTCTGAGAACCAGCCCGGTTTGATGCAGGGGTCTATCAGAAGAAGCACCTTAGTGCTGAGTGGGCAAAGCAGGCAGCCGGTCCTACCTGTGACACGCCTGACCATGCCCTAGTTCTTAATCCCTGTTGCCTCGAAGTCGCTGCGGTAAATCCCCTGTCCTCCTCTAACAGGAACAGATACTTTGGGTCTTGGGGGCTCATCCCACCCCTCTCCTTTTTGCTCCTCCTCCCCTGCTGCCAGACCACATACCCATGGCTGGGGGATATGTGCCAGATCCTGGGAGCCAGAGAATGAAAAGCATATGCCAAGACGTTTCCAGATAAAAATAAAGAAGAGCTAGCCTAGGAATAGCTAGGAATATTTTTAGGTACATGAATATGCTCCAAGAAAGACATACAAAAAATGTTTTCTTTTCATACTAAAAAATTCTTCAATGCTAAGAAGTATCTTTCAAAATACATAAAATTGTAATATGACTAAAAATATCAAGAGTTTAGGAGGAAAACAGGAGGCCAGAGGAAAAACAAGAAGCTACTTACCGCTAAAAGTTTGTCTCCAATCTGTAGTTTGCCATCTTTATGGGCTGCTCCCCCTTCAATAATTTTGGTGACATAGATGCTGTTATCCCCAGGAATATGCTGATTCCCAACTCCGCCAGCTATACTGAACCCAAGACCTGCTTGGAAAATTCAAAAGTGTGAATTTCTCCTTGAAGTGTGAGTTCTCCGTTCATTGCCCTGAGCAGGCCCCAGACCAGCTCTGGGCAAGGTCAAGACGCTAGGGTCTTTATGCAATGATGAAGTGGTGGTCTTCAACAGGGCCACCCACTCCCCCCCCCCATTACAAACACACTTCAGACAGAGGAAAGCCATGTGCCCCTACTGCTGGTGCCACAGACAGTGGCCATGCTCTCCCTGCTCCGCCACCCTTCTTTGCTTTGATTGTGCCATCAGATCCCACAGGGTCTTTCCCAGTAAGAGTCTTGGCCAACAGCATGGGCTGCCATGTAACAATCGGTGCATCTCCTGGCTGTTCCTAAGCTAAACATTTATGGGATTGCTAAGTTTGGGAAAAAGGGTTGTTTCTTTAGGTTCCATCAAGGCTCCTGGAGCACCTTTCAGCCAGGTCCTGGGCGGGGGAGGAGAGACAGAGCATACCAAGACAGTAAGAAAGAGGTTTCCTGCCGTCAGGGAGGCATGACACGAGGCAATGAGAGAGGAGCAGGGAGAGAGCTGCACAGGGGAAGGGTTGTGCCCAGAGTCACACAGCCAGGAGGCATCAGAGGTAGGGCACAAACCCAGGCCAGCCTTCCTGGAGGGGAGGGGACAAGCACTGATTAAGCACCTACTGTGTGCCAGGCACATGCTAAGTACTTTACAGATATGATCTTACTGGATCCTCACACAAGGCCAGGAGCGAGGTGCTATTATTCTCCCTACTTTACAGCTGAGCAAAGTGACTTGGCTAGGGTCCTCCAGCTAGGAAATGTTTGAGGCCTGACTCCAGGCCCAGTGCCACACTGCCTATCACTCCTTCCTTCTGAGGACTATGAAATAGAAAAGAAGGTCAGTTACTGGAGCCTAAATGTTTTTGTTTTTTTTTTTTAAATTTCAGTTATTTAACTTTTGGTTCTTGAAACGTGGAGCAATTTTGCCGTATTATGAGACAACAGACTTTATGACTGGAAGTCTTAGGGACGGTGTCTTTGTTCTTGTTTTGGCCCGGTTTCCATCGAAGTCACTGCTAGGAGGCTCATTATCAGGCAGTTACTGAACAAAAGGAAAGTCTGCTCCCTGAGGTTATGTTTTGACATGTGGCAAAAATATCTAAAATAAGTAGGAACTGTTTACTTCAATTATGAAAATAATACAGACAAATTTTAAACATATCGACTTTCGGAGTAACAAACTCGCTGGGTTTTGCCCAGACTAGGCAGCCCCTTTCTAAATCCAGACAAGGGCTAATCTCTGATCCCAAGTGCTCACCGCAGCTGGCGAGCCTCGAGTCAGCCACACCTTCCCGCTGCCCTACCTTTGGGGCCTTTCACCAGTTTGATCTCCACCGTTTTCTCCGTCACCGGCTTCCGTCTTTTCACATACAGACGCACAATGGAGCCGGCTTCCTTCAAGGCTTCTACGGCTTTGCTGTGTGTCACATCTCGGACATCCACTTCATTTACTCGCAAAATGCAGTCATTAACCCTAAGGGGATACGTGGAAAACAGAAAAGACTTTTTAATTCCTGTTTCCCCATCTCAGAATTGCAAGAGCAGATAAGCTCTGGGTCCCAGGGTTAAGATCCTGCCCAATCCCCACAGGTCAAACTGGACACAAAAGCAGATCCTGTCAGCAACTCCTGTGGCGAGAATCTCTTCAGTGTCTAAGAACAGGCTTAGGGGTTCGGAGCAAGAAAAGTTTAAAAAAAAAGGGGGTGGGAAATCAAAAGAGTCTACATGAGAGTGCTCTATAAACTGAAATTTAAAAATCTCTGATTCAGTCACTTGGCAAGGCAGTTTGGAATGAGTGACAAAAAACTAAAATGTCTATACCCTCTGATACAGAGATTCTACTGCTGGCCATACAAACCTGCGGAGGTAAGTGACCAAAAAGACATGCCCTATTGCCCCAAAATGTTGAGAGCCACACCTGTGGCAGGAGCAAAGATGTCTAGCCATCAGGGAATGGTTCTACAGGCTGTGATCCCTCAATGTTGCAGAATATCACTGTAGCAAAGAAAAGAGTAAATGCGATGTATATCAACAAGTATGGCGAGACTTACAGGAATTGATGCAAAGTGAAAGAAGGTGAAGAAGGAACACAATTCACAAGGACCAGGATGATGTAAACGAAAAGAAGAGAAGCAGTCAGTGGACCCAGACTGCTAGGAAACCCCGAAGAGAAAGCTCCGTGCAGCTGTCTTCCCCAGCTTGTGTGTGTATGTGGGGGCGGGGGGGCGTTCCCTGCGGATGCTGCACAAGGCATGAAAGGTCCCAAGTTTCCAACAGGCCAGCTAGCTTTGTTCTTCCATTTTCTGTTCTAAGATTTCTCCACCTGCAGTCCGCAGCCTCGCCCTTCCCTGGACTAGGCCCAGAGCCCCTTTGGCTGGGATGATTCTCAAGAGTCTCAGCTCCTTACATTACGGGATGTCCAAGGCCGATCGTGAACGGGGATGGCCTTCTCTGGGAATGCTCTAACTTATCAACATGGCACCAAAAACTGAACAGAATACTACACATGTCGAGGATGACAAGGACCACGTACAGAAGGATGGCTGGCTTCCAAATCCTTGACAATTTACCTCTGGGGAAGGTGGTCAAAGAACTATTCCCTTGCCTGACCGCCACAGCCTGCTGAGATTCAGTCATTACACCTCAATCCCCCAAATCTTTTTTTTCAATCCCGCTGCTCTCTTTCCTTACCACCCTCCCATCTTATACTCAGGAAGCTGATTTTTGAAACCAAGCGAAAGATTTCATGTTTATTTCTATTAAAATTCACCTTCTCCATTTCTGCCTAATGTTCTGACTTGTACTTTATCTAAGGATAATTTTGGTTTCAAATTCTACCAATAACATTTGTCAAGTGATAATGTCTGAGGCATTTTTAATAACGATAACCATTATCTGACCTTAGAAATAGAACACCTATGAAAAAAATGAACACAGACGTGAGATATGAATTCACAGAATCCTCGCACTACTAACAAAATGCACATAATACCTCTCACCAATGGAGCCCAAATAAGAAGTATGTCAGTGAAATAGAGTCCCGTGTCATGTTGCGCATATTCCTGGTGAGCTACGTCCCAAAGATGAAAGCATGGGTAGGTAAGCAAGGAAGAATACACAGTCCAGCACTAGCCTCTGTATGATTACAGTTAGAAGGGAACCTCAGGACAACCAAAAGAATCTTTAAGTGAATCAGAAAGCCACAAGGCACCCCAGGTATGATAGAGCTGAGGCTTGGGTCTGGGACCGACAAGAAGATGACAGTGGATGATGGAGGGAAGAAGGAAATAGAAAACTTTTACGGAGAACGATGACACGATCCCCCTACTGGAAATCATCAAGGAAAATAGGTAACAGGACACTGAGAGTCAAGAATGGAGAGAACAATGGAGCACCTGACTGGCCTTGGAGAGTTCCTGGAACTTGGATGAGATGTGCGACACACTAGGGTCCTGAATGCCCTGGCCACCACGAGACAGTCATCTCTACAAGACTGTGGAGAATGGGGAAAAGTGAACAATTAAAGAGGCACCCCAGGAGTAGAGAAGAACAAATGAACACATTTTCAAAAAAGAATGGAAGACAGAAAACTACAGGCCAGGGAATATGAATCTGATTCCTGAAAAGACTGTAGGCTGTGTCATCACAGGGATATTCAGTGAGGAGCTAGAAAAGGAAGCATCAGCAAACAGGGCTTCTGCAAGAAAAGGCCATGCCTTTCCTGGGGGTCAGAGGTCACTAGATGAGAGAGTAAGGGACTGGGACAGAGCCAAGGGCAGTCCTTTGTACACTCCCCTCACTTCAGTCTGCACCAGTGCGCCCAACTTTCCTGGGGGTCGTGGAGTTGCAACCACAAGTACATTCCAAACGGTCAGGGCTTTCGTCCTAGGGTTCTCTTCCTCCACCTGTGCTGCGATGAAGATTCTGGTAATGACTCTGACTGCCCTGGGGCACACGTCCAGGAGGGAGATTGCCAGGCCCCAGCCCGTCAGCATGGCAAGGCCAATTCGTAGCTGCACCAAAACGTATGAAGACGGTTTCTTTTGCACAGAGACTCCAAACACTGTCTACCTCTGTCTTCTGACAATTTGACAAGGGTGTTAGACATTACCTAGTTTAGCAAAACAGGGGAGGAAGTATCTCATGCTGCACTTGTGAATAAACCGGCAAGACACAGGTGTGATAGTAACCCAGTCCAGTGGGTTTGGGAGTGAGTGAACAGCTGAACCCAAAGGCTGGCTAGTGATGTCTGGATTTCTGCCTGGCAGGAGGGCTTCCACACAAGAGGGTCCCGAGGATTGGTCTGTGCTCGGTTGTCATCACACACCCGGCCACATTCTCCACACCAGCACACAGCCCCAGAAATTACTGCAGAGAACTCTGGATGTATTTGCATGTATGTGTGCGTGCATGTGTGTGTGTCGTTCCCCCTGCTTTCTTCAGCACTAGGTCACTAGCTATGTGGTATCAAGTGGGCTGTGAGTGCTGAATGTGGGGTCAGAAAGAGCAGAGTTTAAATCCTGTCTGAGGCACTGACTAACTAGGTACCTCTGAGATTCTGTTTCCTCATTCATAAAATGGGGGTGGTGACAACTACCTCACGGGGTTATCCCAAGGATCAAACAAGATCACTGACATAAGTGTGCGCAAACTTTAAAATGGCCGATCAACGTTACCTAAGTTTGTTTTTATTATTGGTATTACAACAGCACATGGACAGACAGATGGAAGCCCATGGGCTTCCCCAGGAAGCTGCTGGTCCTGTCCCACACCCCCTCTCCTGCTGGTCCTCATGCCTGCAGCCTTCTATCTGCACACATGTGCAGCCCGCTCCCCCTCTCCCCTTAGCAAGTCCCCCCTGGAGGCCCAGCTGGCCTTCACTCTCCCATCGTCCCCATGGCCCTAGTCCGAACTCTCCGGACTTCAAAGCCACGTCGCCAGAGCTAGAGACCTTGCCCCACTCTGCACCACCCTCTGCCTTGCTTTTCAGATCCCACATTCGAATGGAGGCTCCTAGAGGGCAGGGACTGTCTTTCTCTTCACTTGTACTGGTATCCTCGGTGCCTGGCACACACTAAGTGCTTAATAAATGCTTCCCTGAAGGTAGGGTCTTGCGGCACCGATATTCAGCCCAGCACAGGGAGTCAAGCAAGTGCTTAACAGATGCTGGCTGACTGACAAGAACTAACTTCAGGTGTGCGTTTGCTCCCGCCTCCACTGATGACACAGAGATAAGAGGAAGAACTGATGGCGCAATGTGATAGCTAGATATCTATGATAGCTTGTCCTTTGGGGACAAGCTAAATAAGATGAGAAGTAATGGAGATAAATGTCGAATCTTCCTTTTGGGTCTCTAAAAATCACCAGCACAGGGCAACTAGGTGGCACACTGGCCCTCGAATCAGGAGGACCTGAGTTCAAATCCTTGCTGGCTGTGTGACCCTGAGTGAGTCACTTAACCAAATCAGCAGCACAAGTATAAACCTGAAGCTGGCCTGGCACGCTGCCTAGTGAATGATTCACCAAAAGGGCTAACGTCACTTCAGGCTACACTGCAGTGTGTCTGGGTCCAGGGCTAGGGGGATAATGGCATCTGCAGGCTCATGCCTGGCTCTGAGAGACACCCTCATGAATGGAGAGCATCCAGAGGCGGGCAACCATGAGGGGAGGGGAATGAGGGGGCGGCACGGCACAGGAAGACCACGCGATTTCCAAGTGTCTGATGGGCTGTCAGGTCACCTGGAAGGGGTCAGGATGAGGAGTCATGGGCACAAGTTGAAAAGAGGCAGAGACCAGCCTGATTTTAAGGAAATGTCAATCAGAGCAATCCCAAAAGCTGAGGGGGCTTCCTCAGGAGACAGCAGAGGCCATGGGGGTGGGACGGGATGAGAGAGCCTGAGAGACCTTCCACTACTGCTGCTCCCACCGACTCTAGCTACCTCCTGTGAACAAGGTTTGGGATCAACATAATTCATTGGTTGTGATCTCTGACCCATTCTTAGTTACATACTCTCTTCAAATATCCAAAACAAAACATTCTCCAATGCTTAATGCAGAGATAAAAAGTAAGATCATAGGAACAACCTCACATGACAAAGAGAAGGTAATATTGTGACCGAGGATCTGCGGAGAACGGTAAGGGCCTTGACTTTGGCCATTTAACCACAACTATTGATGATCTGGACAGTAAAAACCTAATTACAGTTTAAATAATGTTTACTACAAACAACAAGAGAACACATCAGTAGCCTCTCTTCCCCATTACACCATAACCAATTTGCTTAGGGAAAAATAAAAACATCCAATTGGACCCAGTCTCTTATGTTGCCAGATTCATTCTTCCCTGGAGACTCCACATACCGCAGTCTTCCATCCTGTGCTGCTGCTCCCCCGGCAATGATTTTTGTAATGAAAATACTGGCGTCGTCTCCAATATGTGGGTTATCTGTGCCCCCTGCAATGCTAAAACCAAGCCCTGAATTGCCCTGGGGAAAAGAAAAAAGGGACAGAATTCAAGTCAGCTATGAAAAACTTCATCAAATTCTGTAATATAAAACTTTGAAAGTAAACAAATTTATGTTTTCTAGATGAATAATCATCTACAAAATGATAAAAGTACCATGGGAAATAAGTCTTTTACATGGCTGTCCTCCAAATACACAGAGAACAAACAACTGCTTTAATGCAGAACATGTGTGCCCAGCACCCACACAAGGGCAGGTCTGTCTCATCATGAACACATACAAGCAATGGGCGTCAGCTACTGTCTACACCGACTGCAGACAGAATGGCGGCGCTCAGGCGTGTCAGCAGGCAACAGGAACAGGGTGCTGAGAAGATGGTGTGTCCTCTCATTGGCCCCCTGCTGACATGGCTTTTGTGGCTGGACCGTGGGTGACTGGACCGCCTTGGTAGGAGTCGCCCCGACCCTGAGGCTGCCCAGAAGGAGAACCACGTCACGCACGTCGTCTTTAGCACACGTCTAACCCTGTCATCCCTCAACACGGGCTCTTCTCCCTTGGAATCACACCAATCTTTCACAAATAAATGACATAACCAACAGATGCTGACAGGCACTACGCTAACAGCTGGGAGCGTAGCGTCTTTACGTCATGGAGCCAGGAAGCTGCTCCTCGTACTCCAAAGAGGGAGTCCAGTTAATCGCCAGCAGAGTCATACTACTGGCGACCACCTATGGAAACCATGAAACTCGGGGCCATGGAACACACAGTACGATGGGATGAAGACTTGGTAATGGGACTGCACTGCCCCACCAGTTTCCACGCCTTTCATCTCACAGGCTGCCCAGAGGCAGATTTTCTTTGACATCTCTCTGGGGTTTGACAGCCTCTCTGCTCTCTTGGGCTGTATGCAAGGGTGTCCACGTATGCTCTTGAGGCTTTCAGGCTGACGTTAGTGATATACAGGGGACTAAACAGCACATCCCAAACAGATCTGTGGGCATTTTCAGAGTCAAGAAATAGAATACAATAGATTTTACATCATGAATGTTGATGTACATTTTATTAACTCCTTACAAAATAGAAAAACTGTCCAAAAGACAGTTTTAAAACATTTTAAAAATATATTTTATTTGTTTTAATCAGCCAGATTCTGCTTCCTCACTCTTCCATCCTAGTTCTCTCCCCTGCCACCTGAACCCTCCCCCTACAATTGAGAACACAGAAACAAAACTCACTATACACATGAACAGTCAATTACAACAAATTTCCACACTGGCTCTGGCCTAAAAAAAATATGTCTCTTTTTGAATTCTAAAGTACTTCACCTCTCTATCAGGAGGTGGAGCATGTTTTATTATTAATCCTCTGGTATCATGGTTGGTCATTATTCTGAGAAGAGATCCACACATAAGTATTCCATTACATTTATAAACTATAGTTTGTTCATCCTGCCTCATTTTTAGGGATCACCTCAGATTCCCAATCTTTGCCACCCCAAAGAACTATACCTTTTTTTTTTTTGAGGCAATCGAGGTTAAGTGCCTTGCCTAGGCTCACACAGATAGTAAATGTCTGAGGACACATTTGAACTCAGGTCCTCCTGACTTCAGGGCTGGTGCTCTATCCACTGCGCCACCCAGCTGCCCCAACACCCAAGGCTTTCCTCCCTGGCAACAGCACCTCCATGGCAGGACCCCGGATTTGTGAGCCACACCTGGGTGATGGGGGACAAAGCCGTCCCCGTCACTACGTCCGAGTACGGCTAGGGCACCCTGGCTTGACTGCAGTCTCCACTGCCCAACTATCTCCCTACAATGAGCTGGGCCAGACAAATTACGACGACTTTGTTCCTCTAGACTTCCCTAACAGGGCTCGACCAAGTGCATTTTCTGGATCCATTTAGAGGAGTTTTGGGGCTCCTATCCCACCATCTTGCCTCTTCTTCCACAATTATTTCTACCATTGCTTTTAAATTCTTTGACGGCTCCAAAGATCGGTGGCATTGAACAATCTGACTAACTAGACCTTTCATTTAATTTCGCCTAGTGGAGAATGCTTTAGACCAGGCCTGCACCACACACAGTCTGAGAGCGGTTGTGCTGTGCAGGCCTATTTTATGCAAATCCCTCAGCAAAACTGACTAAGAGAAGTTCCCTTAGGGCAGGCCTGCACCACAGAGGCCTGCTGAGGGCCACACGTGGTGTAGGCCTGCCTTAGACACAACATAAGAGACACAGAGCTAGAAGGGCCCTCAGAGACCACCTAGACCACACTATCCCCTTCCCCCACCCCCCACCTGACAGGTAAGCTGCCAAGCATCCGCTCAAAGACGGGCAACTGAAGGGGGACTCATTACTTCAGGGCAGCCCCTTTCACCTTCGCCTATCTGTTGAGAGGTTTGGAGTGATTCACATGTGATGTGTTAGATTGCTATGTAACCTTCCAGTAGCTGAAATTTTAATAACAGTCTTCAAACAGCCTCATCTCCTTATATACTAGAATGAAGCTCCAGGACACTTTCCACGGCTTCTGTGGAGTTAATGAAAGTCAGGTACAAGTCATCACCCTAGTATCCATTTTTCCTGGTGAATTTCGATTGAGATCAGATATACAACATCGAAGGGTAAAAGGAATAAATACCCATTCCTTGTCCCTGAAAAATTATTGGTTTCATTCACTATTTTTTATTATTTAACAAAAACCTAACATAGACTATATAAACAGAGATCTGCGTGTTTGTGTGCATGTCTTTTTAGAAAGACATCACTAGTTAGACCTTTTAAAAAGATCTTTTTCTTTCAAATCTATGTTAATCAGAACAGATAGTAAGGCTTAAAGTTATTTTTGAAAACCCATTCTTACAGAAAACAACAGATTTGAGCACAAACAAATAAGGTCAATTAACATGTCTATTTACCCGTTCCAGTGTGATTTCTTCATATTCATAATCTGCATCTGTACCATTGACCTAATGTGGGAAGAAGAAGGTCATTTAGAAATAACAGAGCTCTTTTCACAAACATGTTTAACAATTAAAAGATAATAAGAACACATCTAATAAAACAGCCAGAACGATTTTTATGTGTAGCAGAAAAGGGATGTAATTAAGCCCTATTAATAGACAAAATGCAAAAGAAATGGTTAAATATATTGCAAGTATCCTATGGTCCAACTGTGAAGACAATTTCAAAGCCTAATTTTTAATTCAAGCGAATAAACATTTGTAAGGAGTCAGAAAGGAAGCCTTAGGGACACACAGCCAAAGAAGGGAACAGTCTCTGACTCCAAGGAGCTTCCTTACATCCACCTGGAAGAAGAAGTGATGTGTGTACCCAAGTGTAGACACACACACATACACACCTCTCAAATGAAGGGGGAGAGAGAACTAATCACTGGGCCATCCCAGCAATGCTTCCAGGAAAGGGAGCACTGAGATGGGGTAGAAGGTAGAAGGCAGAAGGCAGAAGATCCCAGATGGGGCAGGCCTAGGACTGCAGGGGCAGATTTGAGAGAGTTGAAATCCCAGGAAGATGACTTCTATCTTCTATTAGAGATTAACAGGGAATCAGCGAAGATTTTTTTATGAGGTATATGATGCAATCAGTCCATGTTTTAGGAGTATCGATTTGGCAGCTGTGCGGCTGAGGACTGGAAAGAGGAACTCAATGCAGGGCAAAGCCTTCCAGGCCCAATGCAATCGTGCAGACCACAGGCCTAGCCGAGGGTGGTGGCCATAAGGGGACAAATGTGAGAGATGTGATGGGAGCAGAAGCGACAAACCTATGGGGGGAAGAGAAACAGCAGTGAAGGATGAGTGTGAGACTGTAAAATTTAAATGACTCAAATGACAGTGGGGTCTGCTATAAAAATAGGCAAAGCTTGGAGGGATATCTTTGGGGGGAAATAAATGAGCAATTTTTGACACGGGAGACTCCAGACAGCCTTCATCTGTCCAGGAGGCAGATGGCTATAGGGTTGAGTATAATAACTGAACCTACAGAGGCTGGTGAGATCACCGAGAAACTGCACAAAGAAAATGGAGAGAAGGAGAAGAGATGTGCCCTTCTTTTGGGGGAACTGGGGATGATAATTACCATGCCAGAGTGTGGGAAGGATGGGGAAACCCTGGGCAGGTGGAGGATTGGGAGGAACTAGCGGATAAAAAATATAAGTAACAGAAATCCAAGATGCCTGAGAAAAAAAGGGCGGGCTGAAGAAAGGAACAAACTCCTGGAGGTGTCGGGAAGGAAGGGGATAAAAGGTACAAGCAGAGGTGCAAGCCTTAGCAATGAGGAGGACTGGAACCCAAGGGAACACAATGGGGAGGGAGAAAGAGGAGTGGGAGGCAATGGAGTCCAGGGAAGGGAAGGAAAAAGCATTTATACAGCACCTACTATGTGCCAGGCACTGTGCTAAGGGCTTTTATACATGTTGTCTCATTTTGATCCTTACAACCCTGGGAGGTAGGTGCTGTTATTATCATCATTTTACAGATGAGGAAGCGAGGAAGAGGTGAAATGACTTGCCCAGTGTCACATAGCGAGGGAGTCTCTGAGGCCAGGCCCAGCGCACTGTCCACTGTGCCACCCAGCTGTGCCCTGGACATAAGGCCTCTGTGTGCTCGGCAAAAATGAAAACACAGTCCTCAGTTAAGGAGCATGAGAAAAAAACGGGGTAAAAGACCTTTACGGATAGAACAGCAAATTTACAAGAACCTCTGGAACCAATCAGGAAGAAATGAAAGCAAATCAGGAGAAGATTAGGTTCCTAGATCTGCAATGAAGCCATACTGGGCCGAGTGTCTCTAATAGTCCGTTAGCAGGGGTGGAAAAGGTGGACAAGGTCCGATCCAAGGGGATGGACAGGGAGGTCAGGAGGAACAGAAAGACAAGTAAGGATGAAAAAGAAGATACTGGGAATAAAGAGAAAAATGTCCAACTGCAGGATCAAGGGAGAACTCTCATGGGAGGTTTCATTTAAGAGATAATTACAGGCAAAAGATTAAAAAGCTAACTTTAGAACCCAAATACAATGAATTTGCTTTTTCAGGCATAAAAAGTCTCAGTTTATCAGTAAAGCAACATGCTAAGTGCTGCAAAGAAGACAATTCTGTTTAGTTAATTCACTGTCTAATTTTAGGAGGGTAACAGCAACTGCTGCCTATCAATTTGTTCAGAGAGACAAGTTTTAAATCCGGCCATCCTAAACCTACCCTTTATCTGCTGTATTCTCAGAGAATGGAAATAATGTTAAAACAAGTAAGATCCAGTGTGGGAGGAGTTAAGAAGTCAACAATAAATGATTCCAACGGGTAGCACAGATCCTCAAACAACCCTGGGAGGCAGGTGTGATTTATTATCCTCATTTTCTAGATAAGGAAACCAAGGCTAAGAGAGATTGAGGGACATGCCCAGGGCCCCAGAACTTCCATGAAGTTTCTGAGGCCAGTTGCAGACAGATCTTCCTGACTTCAAGTCCAATGCGCTATAAGCATGATTTTTTGATTCTCGTGTATTTTAGGTTATGCTGCTGTCCATTAGGAAGACTGCCAGGAGTTGATAATATTTAAAACTAAGGAAATAAAAGGTCAGAAAATCCTCTTTTATGTAAGCAAAGTCATGGAGAAGATCAGGCCCCTGGATCAGTACTGGTTACAGAGGCAGAAGGAGTATTACAGATTAGGTCCTAGACTGGAAGTGCTCTGCGCAAGGTCACAGGGCAGGGACAGCCAGTTAATTTGCTTTGAAATGTTAAATTCTTCATACTCAAATACACTCTTCCTAACATCAGAGACACAAAAGAAAAGCTATACATTTTAAATGAAAGACATTTATTTAAAAGGCTCCATTAATGTCCAAGTATGGAAAATGTAAAACTGAGTGTTTAAAAAGCAATAGGGACTGGACCTGGGGTTTCCTTGGCAGGAAATTGCTGGCAGCAATGCTCATCTCAGAGAGCTGCCCACAGGTTGGGGGCCTTGCCCCAGGCTCTGCATTCACGATGAGCTTCCGGCTTCCAGGTCACGTCAGTTCACACTAGGCTGCCTCTCACCCAGTGTCTTACTGTGGTCTTCTTAAAAATAGGGGTTACAGGGGAGAGGAGAGAGAAATTCCTGACCTCATGAATCACTGAAACACTATCTTAAAAAGTAATGACAACTGAGCCTCCCATCAGCAGTTTTTAGGTTAGCTCACTCTTCGAAATTCATCTACAAGCAAGGTCAACATCTGATACATGACACACTCTCATTTCAGCATTCTAAACAAGATTCCTACCTCACGGACTGATCTCCAAGACTCTTTGAACTACTGCTGATGGAAATTCAATATTCTCATATGCTCGTCTTCTAAAAGAAACGAGCAGATGAAAGATCCATCTTGATTCCTTTTCAAAATGGAAACAACCCTAAGAAGATGGATTTAGTTTAGTGGAAGCACCAAGTCTGTACATGCAATCAAGCATGCCGCCTAACGAATTAGAAATTCAATGCCTTTGCTATGCAGCTGTGAGGACGCCCACTCCACCAAGTCACATTGGAGGTTACACATGATAGTGTGTGGTAACACGTGGTAGCCCTTCACTGGAAGGGCAGCAAATTTTGTACCTTTTTTCCTACACTGAGCACGATGCCACAGATGAGGTCTCACATCAGCAGAACAAAACAGAACAATAACCTTCAAATGGGATCTTTTTTTATTCATGGAGCACCTGAAGCAGCCTCTGCCTTCTGGGCCACAACCACCACAGTTAGTTCTGTACCTCTAGTCACAGACTTAGGAAGGCTTAGAACCACCAGAAGTCAAGAGCTCAGGGTGCCTCTGTCACAGGTCTCCTGAGTCAAGAACATCATGGAGGCCTCATCAGCAGGAGCCCTGCTTATAGCAGCTCAAGTCAGAGGGGCAGGAGGCAGACAGCTCAGATCCTCAGCATCACCACTCTAGAGCCACGAGGGACAGATGCTGGCTTCCTGTCCTGGCGATTCCTCATGTCACACTATCTTGGGATTAGTTGGACGGGAGTACAGGTGTCCGGAACCCAACCCTCCAAGACTAAATCATGACATTATGCAGTCCTTGAATACCAGAGTCTCAGAACTTTAAAACACTGGGTAGCTCTATGAGCCAGAAGTAATAATAGTGAGAGCTACCATTTGATGGACCTTTGTCGTTCCTAAAGCGTGTGACATAGCTTTTCTCATCTGATTCTCAGGACAAGCTTCCAAGGCAGGTGCTACCATTACCCCCATTTTATAGATTGGGGGTGGGGGGGGAACAAGCTTACAAAAGTAACTTGTCTAGGGTCAATCAATCAGCATTTATTAAGTACCTGCCATATGAAAAGAACTGCCCTGGGGGCCAGGGATAACAAAGACAAAACAGACATAGATTCAGGCTTCAAGGAGCAAACATTCTGCTGGGGGAGACAAAACGGACATAAAGAAAAGTATACAGATGAGAGGTTAGCTATTATCATTAGTTCTAAGAGTCAGATGAAGAAGGTGTGTACTCCTTCGGGTCTGGCACAGAGACCTGCCTCAACCACCATTCAGAGACTGCTTGTGCATACAGCCCTGCCTAGTGCTCATGGTGGGAGCTGGCAACGCTACTCCTCTGAGGGCAGATTTACACAGACCTGTCAGTCAATCCAGGGCCATGCTGGCTGGGGCTTCCCTACACATGATTTCTTTTTGCTCTAGCTGGATGTTTCATGCTCATTTCACATATAATTATCTGCAACAACTAATGGTCTATTACAACAACTAATACAAATAATTATTGGTCTTTTTTCCCTAATAACTAATGAGACTAATGGTTTCCTTCATTAAAATATATAAACTCCTCGAAGCTTGGGAAAGCACTTTTGTCTTGTGTGGGATCCCCAGAACTTTGCAAAGTGACTGGCACATAACATGTCCTTAATAAAGCTTGATTAATAAATGAACTACTACAGTCCAAATATATTTGTGTT